CAATCTACCTTTCAAGGACAAAACAGGAAAGTTGCTGTCATCAGAAAAGGAAATGAAGGATAGACAGAGCATTTTAAGGAAATCTTAAACAGACCACCTCTAACTCGTGAACCTGACATCAGTTATCCAGCAAATGACCACATCATTGAACCATCACAAATTCCAGAAATTGTCTCTGCAATACAAACTCTAAAAAATGGAAAAGCCCCTGGATATGACAACTTAAATGCAGAATTGTTCAAAACAGATCCACTTCTTACAGCCAATTTTCCATGACATCTGGAAAAGAAACACCATACCAGATGAGTGGAACCATGGAGTCATCATTAAAATACCAAAGAAAGGCAACCTAAATGATTGCAACAATTGGCGAGGAATAACACTGCTTTCCATCCCAAGTAAGATCATGGCTAAAATCATCATCAGAAGGATATCCATAGCTGTAGATGTCAAACTGCGTAAGAACAAGCAGGATTTAGGCCAGGGCGAGGATGTATTGATCAAATATTTACACTAAGAAACATCATTGAACAGTGTACAGAATGGCAACGACAGTTATATATTAATTTTATTGATTTCGAAAAAGCCTTCGACAGCATTCATAGAGACAGTCTCTGGAAAATTGTGCGGTCATATGGCATCCCACAACATCTAATAGACGTCATTAAGAGTTTTTATGTCAACTTCAGATGCAGAGTTGGAAACACCAGCATCGAGTTTGACGTTAAAACAGGAGTCCGTCAAGGCTGTTTAATGTCATCAACACTATTCATCATAGCCATTGACTGGGTCATCTGACATTCCGAGAGGCATCAGATGGGGTACATTTACAACACTAGAAGACCTGGACTTTGCTGATGATATAGTCTTATTCTCCCACTCCCACCAGCACATTCAAGAGAAAACCAGCAGACTACAAAAATATGCAGGAAGCATTGGACTGAAGATAAGCACAAAAAAAAACAGAGGTCATGACCCTAAATGTAAACAACCCACAAGCGGTCAAAGTGGATAATCACATCCTTCCATGCACCAACACCTTTAAATACTTGGGTAGCAAAGTAACAACAGATGGTGGAGCAGAGACCGACATCAAAGAGAGACTATTCAAGGCAAGAGCAGCTTTTAACAACCTACATACTGTTTGGAGATCAAGTCAGTACACAACAAGAACAAAGCTGAAACTATACAAAAGCTGCATTCTACCTATCCTTTTGTATGGATCAGAGTGTTGGAGAATGACAGAGAGTGACCTGAACAAGCTGTCAACATTTCATACAAAGTCCCTGAGAAGGATCTTAAGAATATTTTGGCCCAATACCATCTCAAATCAAGACCTTCTCAACAGGTGCCAGCAAGAGGACATGGCCACAATCATCATCAGAAGACGCTGGAACTGGCTTGGCCATGTACTTAGAAGGGACTCGGACAGCATCATAAAGACAGCTCTCTTCTGGACACCAGAGGGAAAACGGAAGAGAGGAAGGCCCAAAGTCACTTGGCGGCGGAAGTGGAAGTCGAACTTAAAGAACAAAAGAGAAGCTGGGGCACACTCCAAAAGCTAGCCAGTGACAGACAAGGATGGAGAACCCTCGTTACTGTCCTATACGCCAAAGCCGTCACGGGCAGTAAGTAAGTAAGTAATTTAGTTTGTCTGCTTATATACAGGCAGAGGCATTTATTAAAGAATTTAAGCATTTTTACAGAGATTAAAGAAGAGTCTCGTCCTAACGACATAACCCCTGACCCTGGGGCTATGAATTTCACAATTTTGAAAGAGGACTCAATCAACAGTTCGACTTCTTGATGTACAGGAGTAAAGAAATTTTTTGAAGATTACATTAATTTTAATGGTTTTTGTCCTGCCCCTTAGGCCCAAGGAAAACAGCTTGAAATTCTCAATTTATGTTCCCATTTACCCAAAAATTCTATATATTATCCAAAGTTGGTTGAAACTGGTTCAGCAGTTTACGTGAAGAAGCTGAAAATGTTTTTAAAAATTACCACCGACGGACTACACATGAGGACAAAAGACAGATAATGTAGCAATAAGTCGCCTGGGTGACGCAGTACAGTACAGTGTATGTATTTTTTCTTTTATTGCTATCAGTAACTGAGGCGCATTTGAGATTTTTTCTACAAAAAGACATGTTTAATCAACAGAAGCATTACACATTTTAGAAGGTTTTTAAAACCAAAGTCTTATCATCCATATTCAGCACTTGAGAATCTATAACGGTTTTCTCGAACGGAAAGCATGTCGCGGAAGAAATGAAAGCGGATTAATGGCACTATTCAAATGCACCACTTGAAAAAAACGCTTTCTTCAACGAAAGGCATGAAAAAAGGGAGAAATGAAAAACGTATTAGTGGCACTTTTGCAGTTAATACTGTCATGCTATGACCGCTAATAATTTTGAAATACTTCGTAGAGAGGCACTGATGCTTAATTTGCAATCTTTTGACGTCTGTGATATAAGAGAAAAAAGTATTTATAGTCTTGATATTGTAATATTTTTATGTCATAAAACAGGATTAACTAATGAGAAAAAACTCTTTCTTTACCAAAGATTTGCTGCTACTAGTATTTCATCACAATAAAAAAATTATTACCATAGAAAAGTGGTGTTAAGCGGTTACTGAATGAATACTAGAAATCCATAGTCATCCTACCCTACGGGTAACTTTACTCGCTTTTAAATCGTTCAAATAAACATTTCCTTTTCATTAATATGTATTTTATTTGAAACCTAAAACTATCATTATCTCACATGCAACATTAATTTTCAAGGGCTAAGGGTATTTGTAACACATAATATCAGGACTTATGGGAAGTGGCCCAGTATAAATACGTTGTTTTATTTTCATTGATGTTAATACTTCGTGCTGTCATTCGCTTTTTATACACAGGGGGGAGTCATGACCGACAGAGTTTTTGAAACTCATCATGAGAATGTCATAAAAAAAACTCTCTGGTGCATAAAAAAAATCATATAAACAAATTACATGAAAATATATCTATCTCTAATGTAATTTTTTTTCTCGCTTTATTTTGATCAGTGATGAATACATGTAATTGGTTAAATCATATTTTGAATTAAAAACACGATGGGTATTTTCCAGCGCAAATTGTCGGAAGTTTCGTTACTAAAAATGGGGCCCTGCACTTCATGTGAAGTGTTTTTCAAGTGTTTGGCAGTCTCCATATCGGATAGCGATTTGACAGAGGACCTCCTCATCGCATGCCAGTGGCCATGCCCCTATCAACCAATCACAAGCTTTGTTAGAAACAGTTTCCGGTTCAAAATTTCAACTTGTATCATAATGCCCCTCTTCTGAACATTTTTGAATGTTTCAACGAATCAATGATGTCAAAAAATAAATTGACAACTTCGAGTAGGTTTGAATACATCCAATAACTTCAATCTTTTTTTTTTTTTTTTAAATAAACAAGGCTCATAAATCGACAAACGCGACAACCACAAAACCTTTAATTATGTACTTTATATATACAGTATCACAGTACACCTACAACATTGGAATCATGAAGTCTTAAAAATAATCCTCAGTACAGAATCAACAAGAAAAAAAATATGTAAATATGGATGTCATTAGCAAATATTAAAATACATTGCCCTTTGGTATGTAAAATTGGTTGTTACTTTTCATGACGGAATGAGAAAATATGAATGTCACTCGTACTCCAAGAAATACAAATGGAGTTATTGATATGTAAAAAAAAAAAACTGTAAAATTATATTTATACATATAAGTACATGTGTATTTATAATTCAATCGATTTTGCAAAAAAGATTTACCAAGATAAAAACAATTAAATACGCATTTTAAAGCACATAAGAAAAAAATGTAAATACATTTACCTGGTAGTACAAAGACTTCATTTTTATTTCAGTGAATAGTTTTACATAACCTGATGTATAAAATCGTCCTACTAGTTGATCAAGGTTAGACAATTTCAGGAATTAACGGTTGCAACTATATTACAGAAAAAAAAATGCATAATCCGCGTAAGCGGGATATGTATTTTTTCTGTAATGGTTGCAACCGTAAATTCAGCATCAACATCAAAGAAAATTAATTCATTTCATTGTTTATATACTGACATAAAAAAGAAATGTAACAAGCAGTTAACTACGAATAACTGCAGATTTCTATTTAATGGTATTATTTGCAAACACATATTTTAACAGTAAAACAAGAAAATGATTTAAAAGCGCCGGAGAATTGATTGAAAAGTGGACGCTATATCTTCCGACTTTTAGAGAGTTGCAGGTAACCATTCGAACCCCCCACCCACAAACATCTCTTCAATCACAGCGTGCAATTGCAAGTCCGCCCATGCACAGCAATTGCAGCTCGGATTGTACGATGCATAGAGTTCATCAGTTTCTTGATAAGAGCGGAAGAAATATCCTTCAGTCTTTTTTAAGTACCTGTTCGTGGAGTCGGACTCGGGTTTGGTCCTGTAACGGAACGAAAATTAGCACTCTCCACCATCGGCTCATACATTCTGAGAGAAACGAACGACAACTCTGCATAGGAGATTGGAAAATTAGATGCTTATCTTTTTTAAACCCTATATCGGAGTTTTCCCTACCAAAATACTTTTGCATGTCAGTATATTTTATGTCGTTACATTTTTTCGTTACATGATTGCACACCTGGAACTCACGATGAACGAGTAGTATTTCTTAATTTATCTTGGTGTTGAGATTTTATTTCATTGTTTTGCGTGCATTTGTGTTTGTTTGTAATGCATTGACCTGTGCAACTGATAAATACTTTTTTCTCCTGACGTAGTCACAGGTACTTGTGGACAGGACCCTCCCCGATATTCAACCCCGGGGCTTGTTGGATATTTTTTTCACAAATTATATTTATTATACTTATTCATCATATGTACCATAGGAAAAAAATCGTGAAAACCCCAAAATAATCGTTCCACACAAAAATGCCTCACTATACATTAGTATTGTGAGGTATTTTTGTATGGAAGGATTATTTGGGGTTTTCACGATTTTTTTCCTATATGGTACACATGATGAATAAGTGTAATGAATATAATTTGTGAAAAAAAATGTCCAGCAAGCCCCGGGGTTGAATATCGGGGGGGGGGGGGGGTCCTGTCCACAAGTACCTGTGGACGTAGTATAGTTGCATTTGATCGCGACCGAGTATCAATGACGATGTAATGTACGTACGTCAACACAGGTGAGATCTGTACCGCTAAATACTTCATTACATGTAAGAGGTTCAGTTACATTAGGGGCTGAAGAAAAACGTAAAGAACGAACTTTCTGGGAACATGGATAAACTGCGTTCTTTCATATAGGTGGCTTAAAAAAACGGGTCAATAGCTAACTACAGTGTAGTTCAGCGGCTTTAATGAATTATGAATGGGAGTGGTTTTTATATAAAAAATAAAGGAGAAAATATTCAGTAGATGTAATTACTTGCTAATTACACTAGAAACATTGAACTCTGAAGCCTAAATAATGGCAGGACTCATCAAATAGCTAACTGTTAAGCACTTAATGAATTCCAACAACTGAACATGTAGATGTACATGCTATAAATCGTATACACAAATAAACACGTTTCCTTTATAAAATCGACTCAATACAATTCACATCATATGGCACATCACACAATTGGATAGAAAACCTGATAACAAACTTGTGTATATTTGTAAAGTGCTGCACTGACTTTCTGTGAGCAAGCTGTGAAGGTAGGCTATACAGTAATTTTGTTTAAGAGAATCAAATTATTGATCAGTACTCGAGCAGTGAAATTACTTTTCACTAAACAATGTCATGGAAACAAATGTAGAAAAACACATAAATAAAATATATACATGTACATAATACGTACAGATTTGAAAATGAAGTACTGTAGTGATGTAATAAAATTCATAAATATACATTAACCTTAGCTTGGAAAAATCCTTACAAATAGAGGTCAAACAACTACATGTAATCATTAGTAATGATGAAAATGTAAATATAATTTGCACTTCTAATCTGTGCATTTCTACATTTTTTCTTTGCTTTCAACGGAGCATATAGGGAGTGAATATGATACAATAATCAAAATATTTGGCGTCTTCAATTTGATTTGAAATCAACGTTCTGATCAATCTATCAATACATCAATCAATGTCATGTAATACAAACACTTATCAGATCAAGATGCATGTATCAAACTCCACACGCCATCTTTGTCTGATCTTGAGAACAAAATATGTGCACAATGCTGAAGCCCTCAAGCTATCGCATCTTAAATCAAACATATGTATAAACACTACATAAATTCTGCAATTGGGTGAGACCCATTGACTGTCAAATTATTCAAAACACTTCTTGTACAAGCATTAAAACCACCTATGATTCAGCAACAATATAAAGGTTGAGAGAAACTAACTATAAAGCAACATTTGTCTTATTTTCTTTTCAAATTGTATCACTCAATGGAAAACAATTACAGACATTTTCTTTCTCGTTTTTACAACCTCTAAAGATTGAATTACTGTAATGTGTTTCTACTGTTATTTATGTCACAAATGTACTAATCTGTAATTTGTTTTTCTGTCGGACTTGGAATATCTTTGTAAGGCACATTTTCCTTTATAAAACAAGATGTGTTTGTGAAACACTGATGCCCCCGTATGACAACTTATAGCAAAGGTTAAACTTTCTCAAATGCAAATCAAATATGTTGGTACCCAAAGTAAGGTCTTGTCTCGAGGAATATAACTGTGAAATATGAAAACCCTAGCAGCAACCATTAAATAGATATGGAAAAGGTTAAAAGTTTTTTAAAAGTAAGTCAAACATTAAGATCAAGGTCAAATGGTCAAAATTAATGGTGCCTAAGGAAAGGCTTTCTCACAAGAAATACACACGTAAAATATGAAAGCTGAAGCACCAATCTTTCAAAAGTTATAACCAAGATTTAAGCTTTTCAAAAGAAGGTCAAACTCCAAGGTCAATGGATTACAATTGTTGGTATCCAGAGGAAGGTCTTGTCATAAGGATTACATATGTGAAATATGAAAGCTCTAGCACCAACTGTTCAAAAGTTATGGCCAAGGTTGAAGTTTTCCAAAAGTAGGCCAAACTCCAAGGTCAAAGGGTCAAAGTTGTTGGTATCCAAAGGAATGTCTTGTTACAAGGATTACATATGTCAAGTATAAAAGCCATAGCACCAACGGTTCAAAATTTATGGCCAATGTTAAAGTTTTTCAAAAGTAGGTCAAACTCCAAGGTCAAGGTCAAAAGGTCAAAGTTGTTGGTATCCAAAGGAAGGTCTTGTCAAAAGGATTACACGTGTGAAGTATGAAAGCCCTAGCTCAAAAGTTATGGCCAAGGTTAAAGTTGGATAAAATTTTGCAAAACTCCAAGGTCAAGGTCAAAAGGTCAAAGTTGTTGGTATCCAAAGGAAGGTCTTGTCAAAAGGATTACACGTGTGAAGTATGAAAGCCCTAGCTCTAATTGTTCAAAAGTTATGGCCAAGGTTAAAGTTGGATAAAATTTTGCAAAACTCCAAGGTCAAGGTCAAAAGGTCAAATATGGTGGTACCCAAAGAAAGGTCTTGTCACAATGAATACACAAGTGAAATATGAAAGCCATAGCTCCAACCAATCAAATGTTATGGGCAATGTTAAAGTTTTAGCGGACAAACAGACAGACAGACGGACGGACGGACAGGGCAAAAACTTCGATACGGGGGCATAAAAATAAAATTACATACAACAGCAAACTGAACACTAAGGTAATAAAGCACAGATCTTGGAATTGTAAAAATTAAATTGCAACAAAATGTGATTCACAACAATGAAATAATTAATTAATGTATGTTCATTGACAAAGTCTTCCTCCTTTTATTCGCGGGTCATAATTTCCCAGAGGCTAGTGTAGCCCGCATGGAGTATGGTAACTCATCCATTGCAAAATCCTGCTGGTTTCGGAGTAGCATTTGTTCTCTGAATTAGGAAAATTTTATTAAATCAAAATAAACACTCATAAACACAATATCTAAATAATCATAATTTTACTATATAGAATGAGCGTAGGAAATCAGTGTGCACGTACGTAAGGACGGGTTAGAACTTATAGAGCCAGTATACAGAAGAGAAAGAATACTACTGAACTCTTCGGAGCTTGGTTGGGTTTAAATTTCTTAAATTTCCCTTTAAATGTAGATCGATAAATATCATTAAAACTGATTGATTTTTATTTTAATTTGAGACATTCAAAATATACCCTATGTATAAGATGCAGTATGGGATGGCATTCATGACAAAGGGAAAAAGAGGAATAACTCTGAATTTAACTTGGACACGCGACTATGACTTATTATTTAGAAAAGCATCCTTTAATGTAAAACACTAAATATAAAGTTGTTTTTTTTAAAGGGGGGGGGCTTATTTGACCTTGAAGGACCATTTGAGTCTGGAATTCTTTTGTTTCGGGATTGGGGTTTCACTTCGAATTACATGTAATTACAATACTTTATATCCGTACAAGAATATATAACATTGATCATCAACATTTTTTTCTCTATGTGTGTGAAAAGAATAAAACATTCTGCAAATCCATATTCAGATGTGTGTGTGGGGGGGGGGGGGGATTCACAACACTCGTAGCACTTAGCAGTAAATCAGGAATCTGGAATTTTGCGATGGCAAGTGCATGAATAAAATAAAACTTGAATAAATCATACTTTGCTTAGGAAATGCCCTTGAATAAATGGCAAAACGTTATTTGTGCTATTTTTAAAATATGAATCCTATCATTAGTGAAGAGCTGACTCATAACTGACCGACGATTTGATTTAAATCCCCCAAATCAATACGTTAACAAAACACCACAAGGTCACTTTGAAGAGTATAGTGTAACCTCACAGAAGTTGTTACGTTTTAGATCAAGTCCTAACTGAGTTACAGTAAATTTATCTCTTTTTCTTACTTGAATTACAGAGCAAATGAATTATACAATTACGTGTAATCCAGAAAGTTTACATTTTTTTAATATCCGGGACGTATAATTATGTTCCTTATAATATTACAACTTGTGAGTACACATGCATTGAAAAATATGTAAAAGTATTTAATCTATGCTTAAGATTAAACAAAAAAATATTAATAATCATATTCAGTAAAATTTTAGATCAAAACCATTTATTTTACCAGAAACTTTAATTTGTGCGAGTCAGTGCGAGTTTTTTTTTCCCGTTATCCGGAACCGTACGGAATCGGTTTTCCCTATTAATCATGAAAAATACCAACATGGCGACTTTGCGTCCGTCACAACGGGCATAGACTGAATGTGTTTTCTGTGCAATAATACTGGTATAGAAGAAAATTGTAACTGTTATATTTCTTCTAATGAAGGAAATACTGTTCATGAATTTGAAATAAGAAGTTAACTTCACATGGAGTTAGCTTAGCTGCGCTTTATTACTTCTTTAAATGGCCGTTGTACAAGACAGTATTTATCATAGGCTTCAAATGATGAGCTCCGCTTTAGACAGTCGTCCTACCAGTGCCTTAGCAAGGGGAGTACAAATTACAGAGTTTAAGGAAACGAGAGTAAATCCAGATCCTGTAGTTTTAGAGGACAGTGATCTCTTGTTGGAACAATATCTTTCCCCGGGGAAATTGAGACTTCTCACAGGAGTTGACAATTTAGAAGATATTCGTCGCCTGGAACTTAAAGTTGACACAAAAGAAACAAGCTTGGGAAACTTTGGTTCCTTATTACCAAACTTAACACAACTTAAACTGTCAAACAGCAACATCCCATGTATCCGAGACTTGGGGTCCAGCTTACGGAATGTCACAGTTTTATGGATGTCACGATGTGGCCTACACGAGTTGGATGGAATTTCAAGTATGCTGAGTCTAAAAGAACTTTATTTATCATATAATGAGATCTGTGATATAAGTGCTCTAAGCATGCTGGACTCTTTACAGATTTTAGATCTAGAGGGAAATAACATAGATGATACCCAACAAATTCATTACCTTGCTATGTGTTCAAACTTATCCAGTCTTACACTGGAAGGGAATCCTGTGTGTGTGTTACCTACACCAGACAGTTATGAGACTGATGATTATGACTACAGGTGGACTGTTAAGAAAATTATACCTCATCTCAGAATTTTAGATGAAGAACCATTAAATTCTGACCCATCTCCTTTGAAAAAGAAGAACATATTTGATGATGACTGGGCATATCTGGAGGAATTACAGAAAGATGTAGGAATAGGAGGTTCAACCGAAAGTCTAGACTCCTCGGGTGAGTAATGAGTAACTATTTGCCCAAGTTTCATTTAGAAAATAAAAGTAACATAAAAAGTCACGTCATGTACCAGAGCAAAATATTGATATCAATGCATTGAAGCTATAAAATATTTTTAGAGGCAAGCCATACAGAAAGTACAGGACGACCTGGCACTGCATCCCTTCGGCCAACAACTGGATACCGCCCAGGTTCTGCTCTTCGACCTTCCTCTGGATTTCGACCTCTAACAGCATCAAGGAGACCAGCTACAACTTCTGGAGGGAACGTGAGGCCACTTACTGCAGAAAAAACCAACAGGGAAGAAAACGAGGAGAAAACTATAACAGAGGATGCCTCCAGTGAACTCACCATGGGGAAAGTTGTTTGTGGAAATCCATCCAAAGCTCTCTTCTCTCGCAGGAAAATTAATCCTGGAAGTGAACCCAAAACTGAGGCAACAGGTCTAAAGCTGTTCCCACAATTCCTACACAAGCCCGAGCACACCTATGACCCCATTCCTGACGATGACAAGGAGAGGGCCGATATTGTGGCCGAACTAAAGGAATGGAAACAACATCATGAAAAAATCATGGAGAAGATCAATATAGAAAAAGCTCCTCAGGTATACAGATTCGTGTTCTATATTTCACTTTCTTCATGTTGTTAAAGCTGTGATAAAATTGTTGGATTGGACAGTCAGTGGTTTTAAAACAAATTTAATAATACAGTTGCTGAAGAAATTACACTTGTAAGAATTGATGAAAAAGTTCTGGTGTGCAAAAAATTCGATAACATTCTACATGTACTGATACATCTTTGATTTTTCCAGTGATATTTTCATTTATTTGAGCAGGTCTTGGTAATTGATCATGATGATGCAGTGAGTGTATCCAGTGATGAGGAAATAACTGATGAAGAAGACAATGGGGAATTAGCCTCCAGCTTTACTCCTCTGGACGACAGTGACCGACCAGTCAGTGCTGACCGACCCTCCAGTAAGGGGGAATCAGTTACCTCTAGTCCATTACTGGGTATGTTACTTCTAATATTAGTATATTACGCTGCAGTATATATCACAACAGACTATTTTCATTGCTTTTGAGTTAATGTGAAAATACAAATAGATCTGTAGAATATTGAATAAATGGACTTGACCTGTGCAAGAACTGATCATGTCATGATGTTCATTCAAGGGATAATTTTCAAATACTCGCTCAATGCATGCAAACATTAGTGTTACCACACAAACAATATGTACATGTAAACACACATATATAAAATATTTATTTTAGATACCAAAAATTCATAAACATCTGACTATACACATCTTTTAAAATTTCATGGCATTTTGATGATTGGCATTTTAATTAATTTATCAGCATCTATTATATTTTTAAGTGTAATCTTTAGCTTTTTTCAGCATTCTGAATAAAAAAGAAAAAGATTTTTTTTTTTCAAATACTAATTACAAACATAATTGATGTTTCAAGATTTCGTCAATCAACCTACATTTTTTTTTTTTTTTAACAAAAAATCATATCAAATAATTTTTAATCAATCATGAATAGATCTTCCACCACCCCCAACCCCACCTAAGATGTTAGGACAGATACGTGAACCCCCACCTAAAGAGTTCCAGGAGGGAATTATTGAGGTTCTGAAAATGGAGGGTCTGACCACAGACAGTAAGAGGGAGGAACCTGAAGATCCTCCAGAAACACCAGAGAGCATCCAACTAAAGTCCAGGCTGGAAAACCATGCCCTGAACCCTCATCGTCCTTGTCCACCCATCAAACCCCTGGGTAGGTCATCCCCGGGTAGCCCAATCATGCCTCGGGTTCCCCCTCCATCTGCTGTGGGTAGAAACCTGCTGAGTAATAGTATGGCTGTCCCAGCAAAAAGAAACAGCCTACAAAGTCCAGAGTCAGGATCTCCAGCGATTGGTCCATCTGCTTCTGTGGATCGCCCAGTGCTTCAGAATCGTCCCTTTACTGCAAGAGCCGTCTTGTCTCAAGTCCGCAGACAGTTGCCTCAAGTTCCTACCCTTCCTTCTAAACCTAGCTTTCCAAAGTGAAGGAGGAACCCATTCATCTTAAGGAAAAGAATATTTTTATGGAAAGCAAACTTGGTTCTGGTCTCTAAACTTCTTGTCTTTCATTTGTTGATCAGTGTGTTTTAAATATAAAGATCTTTTTATGGTATGTTCAAAGTACAAGTCATCACACACGGTAAATGGGGCCGCAGTATCTTCAGGAATGTTTCTGATAAAACTTGAAAGGGTAATGCTTATATTTTAATGTTCCTGACGAATTGAACAGAGATGAGTACATATATAGTGTATACGTAAATCACTACCGAGTTATTGACAGGATCAAGCAGTACCTCAATGTCAACTTACATGTAAATCATTATTTGTCTAGACAAAACCACTGTCACCACATTTTTTTTACACAGCAAGCAGATGCAGAGCAAATGCATTCCATGTTACAGAGTAGGCCTTATGCTAGTTTGAAGATTTGTTTATTTATCAGTGTGAGCAGTATTTACTACATTTTTCAGTCTAATTTTTAGTTGTCATGGAAACTGTAGTGATCTTGTGTGAAACTATTTTTCATTCACTGACTGATATTTACATTGTTTTTTGATACAGCTTAATGTATCAAATTTCTTCAACAGAAAGGATGTACTCAAACCTAATTGTATCACAGATATGTATCAGACCATGTCTGGAGATTTATACATAATTTATTTTTCATTCAAATATCTTTCAGTGTCCCAGATTTTATGAAATGTTGCATTAAAAAAACCATTAACACTAAAATAGTAGATGCTAGAATACTGTGACATGTACAATGTACTTTGAAAAGAATGTGCCCTCCCCTGATTTCAACTTTTATCCCAGTATACATATGTAGTATGAATATATGAATAGAATGCTAAATTCTTTTGTTAAACATGAAAATGCTTGTCATATGTGTTTCAAGATCAAGATATGTCTGTGTGTTGCCAATTATATGCATTTAATTTATTGAGTTGAATAGGCTTTTTGTTTTCAACGATTTTCCTTTTTTTCACTATGCATATGTAGATTGTATTTTTTCACAATAAACAATGCTTATAATTTGATGTGTCTTTCTCTGAGAACTTGGGAATCGGATCTGGGCAAACAGTAAAGTAATCTAATGGAAATGTTAATCCACACACTTGTTCCCCGAGCAAATTGTCTGGATAAATGAGCATCCGGATAACTGAAATATACTTGGTATATATAAATTGTTCCTCAAAGATTTCATTTAGAAGGTGAGGTGTTCAGATTATTGACATCAGGATTAATGAGGCTTCACTTTATATATAGCTTTTTACTGATTTTCTGAAAGAAGTTTTTTTTTGTTAGGTTTACAGTTGCCTTTAGTGATAATACCACTTCATGGTTCTTGTCTATTTAGAAGGTGAGGTGTTCAGATTATTGACATCAGGATTAATGAGGCTTCACTTTATATATAGCTTTTTACTGATTTTCTGAGAGAAGTTTTTTTTTGTTAGGTTTACAGTTGCCTTTAGTGATAATACCACTTCATGGTTCTTGTCTATTTTACTTGAAAGGATTTTGTCTCAGGTGTGTGAAACATCTTGGACATGTCAAAATTTATACGTTGGACTGAAAGAATATACAGAGTTCAAACAATCCGGGGTTTAGAAAACAGGTGATCTGAGGGCTGGGACCAGTAGTATATATAAGCAGGAAAAAAACTGAAAAATATAAGAATAATAAAAATAAAATTGGGAATAATTTACTCTTTTTTTTTAGCTGGTCATAAAGTGCAGAGTATAAGTCACATCACCAAAATGTTTTAGTGTTATTCAAAAATGAAACAAGATAAAAGCATCAGTTCGACAGCATCAATTTGACACCATGATACAACAAGGAGCTTGTGATGATGAGTAAGTAGGGTCAACAGATATTGTTTCAGTTTTGGTTTTATTTGCCACGGAATAGAAATTTAATGCTATTGGACTAGTGAATTTCACAAGGTTAGTACATGTAGTCTCTGGACCAATGTATGCCTATGGCAAATTTAAACCCCTGCAATCCAAAATGAAAGTGTGTTGTAAGATTATAATACAGGAAACAGTTTATTCAAATTTTAATTTGATTTTCATGGTCAACAAGCACCTAGGAAATGATTGAAATTGTGACTTACACTGTATGTCTTAATCTGTTTCATGATTGTACATGCATCTTAGAGATGCGCAATTTTATTGGTATACCAGTTTATCGCAATTTTTTATTGTGTGGTATGTATCGTGATACGGAGACTAAAGTACTGGTATTTGGTACATAACTATAAATTCCGGAAATTATTCATTTATTTGTTCAAACTATTGAATGGCAATTACAGGAAGTGTAAAAAATGTTGAAAACAGTTAAACAATGGCATCCAAACATGCTTCATATTAAATAAATAAAAATTTAAAAAATAAAGTTATGTTTTTAAAGCATATTTTTAACAAATATTATGGAAATTCATTTGAAATTGTAGTAAAAATTGTGTTTTGAGGAAAAATCGTGATATATCATGATAAGAAATTTTTGCCGATACCCATCCCTAATGTATCTACTATGTGTAGTGACTCTAGAGATATAGCAGTACAGCAATACATTGATCATATTGATCGCAAGGGCTCAAATACGCATTTTGTATAGTCAGGTATGTATCACAATCCAGTTAATATTTATTGTCTATGTCAAACCTAACAAATTGAACATTCCAAAAAGGCAGAAAACAAGGAAGAAAAAAACCCCCAAAGTTTAAACTAGGAATAATAAACTTTGGTGGTAAGCAATGTTGAGATAATCATGTTATATTTTCTATTACTGTGATCAAGTAAGCAACACAAAATATGTAAATATATCAATTTATTCTACCGTATTTTTGACCGCTGTATCTTGATACATGTTGTATCACATAGCCGTATCATATTTATTGTATCCTTAAGTAGATTGCGATACTCAGGCCTGACTCCCACTATTAATTTCAATATTGTAGTTTTTTATGGCTATATATAAAATACATGGTTACTGTCTTGAAATATAAGCGATATTTGGGTGAGGGTAAGAAAGCATGATAGAGGGCAAGGCTTGCCGAGCCCTCTCTCACTTTTTCGACCCGAGCCCAAATATCGCTTATATTTCAAGACAGTGTCCATGTATTTTGTTTATCCTGCAACATATTTTTACTTGACCTCCAAAACAAGCTATTTTCAACCGATTTAGAAACATCTCTGCAGTTGAAACTATAAGACGTCATGGCATAAACATTGCAATATACATGACGTCACAATGCTTTTAGAACATCACAATACATGCACGAAGCTTTATTAAGGCATTGACCGAATAAAACTTTGGTTTATTAGGTTACCTTTATTAGGTCAATGCAAGGGGTAGTTGCAGGATAAATATGATAAGGAAGTAGAGCAGTGCCTTAAATCTTTATCTAGAACCTTTAAGATCAGACTACTTTGTTTCCTCACCTTCTCTGTCGCACCATCTTTTTCTGTCTGTAGCAAATGGATACAATGACAAAAACAAACACGGAGGGTACAATAATCCCCATCACTATCAAGGTCACTAACACTGTGTGGTCCTTCCCCGTCAGTGGATGAGGTGTTTTCTGGGAGGCAATCCAGGGGGTTGAAGTTTGTAGAGACTCTATGTATCATTAAGAGAAAAAGAACCATATACATTTTGTATTGAAATCAGCTTTATAAAAAAGAAAACAATATTACACAAATAAAGTTTTTTTTTCTGTCAAAGTCTGATATTCATGAATCATGTGATCATTAAGTGTTTGCATATAAATTTTCTAATTTATAATTGACAATTAAATATATTGTTAACATATTTTTCTAGTATTAGTACAATTGTCTTTATGATTTATCCAAAGGAACCAGTAACTTTATAATTATGAAAATAACCAAGATCTCATATTGATATCACATACAAGTGGTAAAAAGACACCTGTGGTTTCAAAGAAATTAAGAAATTACTGTCTTGGTTTTTGTGCTCCTGAGGGGGTATTTACCTGTTGTGTACTGAGAGTTTATTTACCTGTTTTGCTTCGGGGGGGGGGGGGGTATTTACCTGTAGTAATGCCAGGTATGGATGCTGTGCTGGAATCATTTGTGATGAGTTTTGTAGTCTGAGAAACTACTTTGGTTAAAGTTGAAGTAAGGAACGAAGTAGTGCTTGTCGTAGACAGATTTTGCTTGGAACTGTCCAATGTCCAAGGCTCAGCTGAAGAATCGGACATCTCTGATAATTTGGATGATGTTTATAAAAAGTGTCAACCTCTGTATCACCTGATCACGGACCTTGACAATCCAAGAAATGATTTTTTAAAATACCATAGTTGAAAAATGCGTAATAAAAAGACCTTTAAAAATTTATCTGGAACTATAAACTTTACCTTTAGGTAAAATTAGCCTTTTTTTAAAAAAACCTTTCTCTCGATTTGTTTACATCGGAGAGTTACCTTTCTTGAGTCGATTACTATTTTGCGGACTCCGATCTCGATGAATGAAATATATGAAGATAATAGCACTGGTTCTCTGCCCTTGATTCCAGTCGCTGCCGCTAGGAATTACAAGTTTTTCAGGGCGCTTGCGCCCGTTAACCAATGTCAGGGTACCAGTCTATGAAGATAACGAACAGTATAAGTATTCAGGCTCAAAAGTCCATCAAACAATACAAAATAGGAGCAGAGCAAACACGGACCTCCAAACATCAGAGGTGGGATCAGGTGCCATGGAGGAGTGAGCATCCCCTGCCGACCGGTCACACCCGCGCCGTGTGCTCCTTGTCATGATCAGGAAATAACGGAAAAATCCGTCGACAATTCAGCAGTGTTCAGTGTCACGGCCAGGAACACGTTAAGTTCCTAGACAGTACCGTTGTCGGAAACCTTTAAAGTTAAGCACTGAAACTGGTTCGTTGTCATGAACATACAGGTGAGGTTAAGATTAAATCCGTCCGGTGTCATGCAAAAGATACAAATATTTATACATGATGCCTAAATTTTAACGTTTTTGACAAATTCTAAAAATAAATTTGAATTTTGGGAAACAGATACAACATTCAGTATCCCATACAAAGATTTATGTATTTGATATCCACAATACATTTTGAGGAGTTTTGATTGGCGATCACATGCCCATGTGTGAAGCCATGATCGTGAGCTGGAAAATTATATATTTCTTATATTTAATTCATCGAAATGGTTCTTTTATTTTAAAATATGAAGAGAAACTTCATTTTCAATGTATTAGGCAACTGACAGCCTTTTGTAGCTAACATGTAATAAGAAATAGCAATTTATAAGCAAAAAGTCCGTTGCCTGTACATGTTAAGTTTATCTGGTCCGGTGTCATTTTTCTTAACATGTAAGTAAATCAATAAAAAGCAACAGAAATGATCAAATATATGCTTAATTTAAAAGAATACAAAGCATATTACAAATATATTCGAATCTCGGGGTCGTCTTAAAGCAGCTCACACTAACGTGCTAACTATTCTGCGATGTTTCTATTTTCAATTCATTTTCTCTTAGGGACCTGCATCCTAGCTAGTATGCAAACATATACAATTCCCTGTATTACTATATCATCAGTATAACAAAATTAAAATGTTATGCTTAGGTCACATTTAAGCCGATGGTCGGGCGACCAAATTTTTTTGTATCGTCGGCTAAAAAACATGATCTGGCGACGCAGAGTAGTCATATTAATTCCCAGGAACACCGATACCTTTAAAAGTAAAAATATTTATAAGTTGGCCAACCGTCGCCAGATCATCGTTCGCTAGGCCGCAGTTTGATTTTCATCTTCGGCCGACAGTTGTACGAAAACCCAATTCCTAAATGTCGACCGACTGACGACCGACTTTAAAAACTGTATGCCGATGGTCGGCCTATGATCGAAGGTTGGTGGACGGACTATTCAATAAGTGCTTCAATTAAATGGGCCACAGACGCAAAAAAAAAAATAATAACTTGACCCGACTGACATGCATTAAATTGGTGGGCCGACGAAAAAAAAAGAGATAATTCGGACAAGACAACGACCGATAATATGAAACTTATGTGGAAGCATCCTCAGGTAATCCCCCCCCCCCCCACTTTAATATTTAAACTTTTGAATACCTAACTGATTTCTGCTATTTCCGAACCAAAGTGCTCAGATGAGCGATGTGACCCATGGGCCTCTTGTTTTTGGTGTATTTGTGAATGTAATTGGTATGTAAATCACATTGACGTATCTCGTATGCTATTTCATGCAGCGTGATTGTGACGGTACATTTTGTCGTCCTGTTCATATTGTTGCCGGCGACAATGTGTACATACACTCACTGAGCATATTGTCGTCCATCAGTACATGTCGCATGACAATGCATCGCAATGTTTCCACATAGATATGACTAATCATTGCTTTGCTGTTGTTGAGAAGAAAAAGTTTAAAGAATTTTCCTATATATTCCTGTGTAAAACTTTGATCGCCCTTTGTGGCCCCAACCTAGGCCCGGGGGGTCATGATTAAAAGAAACTTGAATCTACACTACCTGAGGACGCTTCCGTATAAACATCGCTAATCACGGGCCTACTTCTTTTCTCAATATTTGATCCAAAAATTTCAGAACGAGGGAAGGGGGGTGGGGTGGGGTTCAGATCTTTTTTTTGACAAACAAAAAAAATCGTTTGTGTGTGAAGGAGTGTTACTATATAAGTTAAATATATTATTTTATCATGAAATTTTACCTGTGGACAAAATTGAGAGTATATACAGGTTAAAAAAACAGAATTTACAAAAGCAAAGAAAAATGAAAAAATCAAACGGAGGGGGCAGGGTGGGATAGGGATGGGGGAGGGGGTGGGGTGCGCCGGTGCTAGATCTGCGTTTGGTTCTTGAGAAGATTTTTAAAGAGTTTTTGTATACCGTAGACTTTTATCACCAATTGTGGTCCCACCCTATCTATGGGGGTCATGATTTGAACAAAATTGATTTTGTTTTTGTTTGTTTGTTTGTTGTTTTAATATCCCTATAGAGAATTTTTCACTCATAAGGAGACATCACCACTTGCCGGTGGAGGGCCTAAAATTTAGACATATTCTCGGAACTCAGGGCCATTGAAAAGTGTGGGATCTGATCTTTTTCGTGCTAGAATCAAAAAAATTGAAAGTACACTTCATGTATGTACTTTCAATTAAGTATCATCTCTTCTGATCCAGAAGTTCTTGAGAAGAAAATTTTGAAAGAATTATTCTTAAATATTGTATTAAAACTTTGATCACCTATTGTAGCCCCACCCTTTCCCAAACATGATCTGAATAAAAATGAATCTACACTTTATAATAAAGCTTTCACATAAGTTTTAACTTTTCTGACACAATGGTTCTTGAGGAGATTATTTAAAAATGACACTAAATTTTCACTAATTCTTAACTATACAAGTCATGTACTTTCTTGAAATTGGGCATGACCATTTGACTCCCTTTATCCACGTTTGCTTTCTGGTAAGTTTGATTGAAATTGGCCAGTAGTTCCTGAGAAGAAGCTGATAATGTGAAAAGTTTACAGACAGACAGACGGACGGCACAAGAAATGTGATCAGAAAAGCTCACTAGAGCTATCAGCTCCGGTGAGCTAAAAATATGTCAACCCCTACACCAATTATATCGGCACTCGTATGAGAATTAAGCAAAAAAAATGAATTCCAGATAACATTTCTACTGAACAAATAACTTTCAATCTAATATCCATGTACCGGTATATATAACGACAAAAAAGAATAGACTGATTTTTCAGATATCTCAAGAATTACGGTATTTTGACATATCAAAGTCATGTAAACCAATGCTGGACACAATTTTCTGAGCAAACCATTTCTCCCAACAATATTGCGAGTAATGCTAAATAAATACAACTTGTTTACTTATTTATCAGCCAAACACTTTGTCTGTCTAGCTCTCTCTCCTCTCTCTCTCTCTCTCTCCACGACCTTAGTAAATATTCAAAACAATACATCGGCGACAAAATGGTCACAGTACATATTGTCGCAGACGACAAAACGTGCCGATGCTTGACTCTACATTTTGTCTTCCATTACGCAGGAGGAAGAAAAAGGCTCGTCTCGGTACAAATTGTCGCCGGCGACAATATGCATGGCCGTAGGAACCGGGGGACACGGGGTGGGGGGTGCCCCCAATAATTTTGCCGATATATAGATTACTATAGTAAACATAGATACTATATAGATACTATATGTTTGTGCCCCCTCAACAAAGACATCTGATGACCTTTTTTTTTTTATTTTGCTTGTCGGGAAATTTTTGGTAGTGCTCCTCAACTGTCAACTGAAAAATGTATGGCTGTACCCCCCCCCCCCACACACACACACACCCACACAAATGAAATTGCTTCCTACAGGCCTGATATGTATCGATGGACGATGATACGTGCAGTCAGGGTAGGTACATTTTTTCGCCGACAACAATATGTACAAAACGACAATATGTACCGTCACACCTCTAATGGCATGCTTAACGAAAACAACATAAGATCGTCCTTCGTAGTGTGTACAATACAGTAGCGACAACGGACCGATGACAACGGACTGAATTTTCGTATCTTGTCATGACAACGGACAAGAATAGAAATAAATCAAAATTTTCAGTTTTAATTTGTTCTCAATTTTTCTGCAAAGGCTTACAACATGTCTTGATACTGTGTGCACCAATTAGTGTATATATTATATTCTATTTACGAAAAATATAACATCTCAGAAGGAAATTGAATGAAATCCACATGTGTTTTCAACAGGGTTTAATATCGCCAACGCAAACTCCTCTTTTATTACTTGTTTTTAACGGCTGAAATTCATACAGCACCAAATAGGGTGTCAGCCCTGTTTCCCATTGCAATTTCAGACATTAATTGTAATAGATAATTTAACTTGAAAAAAGAAAAACTTCTCACAACCTGTCCTCTCAAGTCATGACAACGGACGGATTTTATCATAACCTCACCTGTATGTTCATGACAACGAACCAGTTTTAGTGCTTAACTTTAAAGGTTTCTGACAACGGTACTGTCTAGGAACTTAACGTGTTCCTGGCCGTGAGTGTGTAAATAATGGCCTAACAATTTGTATGAAAAACGTTAGTCAGCATTTGACTCAATGATAAATTGTATTTGCTGACAAGGTCATTGTATCGACCATAGAACTTACGAAATGATGACTTTAAACGAGACAGCTGATATTCTTGTTTCATCAACTTGTTTGTCAATAATTTACCTCGTTTTAGAAATTGCACATACGTAGAACATGCTCTTGCGTATCGAATCAAGTGAGAGATATAAACCCCGTATGCAGGTGATGAAGGTATATTGCTGCATAAGTAAGGGAAGTTGACGATTGAAAAGTTAAAGTCATCACGTTTATCACACAGGTACTTGTGGACAGGACCCCCCCCCTCCTCCCGATATTCAACCCCGGGGTTTTTTGGACATTTTTTTCACAAATTATATTTATTGCACTTATTCATCATGTGTACTATAGGAAAAAAGCCGTGAAAACCCAAAAATAATCGCTCCACACAAAAATACCCCACTATACATTATAAGAGAGAAAGGTATGCCACTCCGGTTTGTTTACGTTGTACCCACACTGGTCTTTCTGGATTTAAAAACATGTATTTATTTTATTTTAACCTAAAATGTCGGTTCACATTGTCTCTACATATATTTCTGTCTTAGTTCATGCTATCGGATTGACTCTGCATCTCGTAAGAATCCCACAATTAATCCTTAAACAGCATGGCAGTCAGTGGGTTGAAAAATTATTAGGTAAACGCAACGGAAGTGCACAGAGAATATATTACCTATTATGATAACACCCGAGAGAGATTATTACGTCAGGCCAAAACTCTCTCGGGCGTTATCGTAATAAGTGATACATTCTTGGTGTACTTCCGTTGCGTTTACCTAAGGATTTTTCAACGCACCGACTGCTATGCTGCTTAAGGATTAATTGTGGGATTCTTACGAGATGCAGAGTCAATCCGATAGCATGAACTAAGACAGAAATATATGTAGAGACAATGTGAACCGACATTTTAGGTTAAAATAAAATAAATACATGTTTTTAAATCCAGAAAGACCAGTGGGGGTACAACGTAAACAAACCGGAGTGGCATACCTTTCTCTCTTATAATGTATAGTGGGGTATTTTTGTGTGGAGCGATGATTTTTGGGTTTTCACGGCTTTTTTCCTATAGTACACATGATGAATAAGTGCAATAAATATAATTTGTGAAAAAAATGTCCAACAAGCCCCGGGGTTGAATATCGGGAGGAGGGGGGGGGGGTCCTGTCCACAAGTACCTGTGGTTTATCATAAAGCTTGGTTGTTAGATGACCATTAACGTCTTTTTCAAGTAAAATATCCAAATATGAAACAGATGTGTCAGACTCTGTGGTATCTTTTATCTCAAGCTCACAAGCATATATCGTATCGACATAAGAATGGAAATAGCCATTGTTAATTGACAATACGTCGTCGATATTTCTAAATGTCGAGTTGAAGGCCACTGCAAGTGTATTCTTCTTTTCATGTACAAGATTTTGGACAAATTCTGCTTCATATGAATACAAAAAAGGTCTGCTAATAACGGGGCGCAATTGGTACCCATGGGTATTCCAACAGATTGTTGGAAGACCTGGTCTCCAAAAACCACATAGATATTGTCAATCAGAAACTCAAGCATCTTTTTAATGTCAACTTCAGAGTACTTGTGTGTACAATCAGAATGTTATTTGGCATATTGATAACAATTAGTAATGTATTAACAAACTTATTTACAACAAAATGTAGATAATAATTCTTAAATGTCATCAACATTGGTAATAAGCGTTGGTTGAAATCAGAACAAATGTGGAGAATAATGTGTCTTATTGTAGCCCAAACTGTAGTTCTGCGGAAGAGAAATTTTCTTTGGAATTGAACTAGATCATACATGATTTATAGTAACCATGGCATCAACTTTCTCTCAACTGAAAATAATAATACTGTATTGACAGAAAAGTCAAAGGAATAAAACACAATTATGTACAGTACCTTTCACTACTGTATATAGTTTAATCGTGCAGGAGTTTTTTTTTCCCTTTAATTATATGAAAATACCGTAGTATAGTAGAGGTAACATTTTTAATGAATTTAACAGAAATATTTTTAGTAACCACGGCAACAAAGTGTTCGTTGAAATCGAAAATTGTTTTACTTAATGAAGTTGTGTACCAATTTTTTTTTAGCGGACCGGAAGCATTTTGAGAAAAAATAGCCATTTACAGACAAACAGGGAGACAGGCATCGCATTTATACATGTAAACACTTCGGGTCTTCGACCAATAGAGCTAGAAAGTAATTACATGCTTGTCAGATTTTTTTTTTTCATCGATCAACACTAAAACACCTACACATTTCAGAATAAAGCCTATGATCTATCACATCTGAAATGACACATAACGTATACATTAAGTTAGGAGATAGTATATACTTCTTGTGTATCTCGATTATTTTCGACATCAGGATAACGAAATATGACCCCCATAAAATAATGACCATGTTTCGTTTTTCAACGTCGAAAAATGACCATCGGTCATCATTCGATGTCGAAAAAATGATCTTTTTGCCAGTAGAAAATGTGGGATCACCCTTAAAATCTGCAAACCCTACGCAAAGAAAAATGACCGACGTAGAATACTGACCCCTTGTAGATTTTATAAGGGATATGATTTTTATGCCCCGCCATGAATATGGCCGGGGCATATAGTGTTTGTCATGTCCGTCTTCCGTCCTTCTGTCCTTCCGTCACACTTTGCGTTTAGCTCTGTTCAAAGCTCAGTTTCAAAGAAACTATCCAAGATATTTTTATCAAACTTCATATGCTGATAGATATTGATGAGAGCTATGCAACTGCATCAACATTTTTTGACCTTGACCCCACTTTTCTTAAAGTAGTGTTTAGTTCAGTTTTAAAGATACCATTCAAGATAGTGTAATCAAACTTCATATGTTCATACATACTGATGTAAGCTATTCAACTGCATCAACATTTTTTGACCTTGACCTTTTCTTTGACCTTGACCTCACTTTTCTTAATGCTGATACATAGTGATGAGAGCTATTCAACTGCATCATTTTTTTTTTTACCTTGACCTTTCCTTTGACCTTGACCTCACTTTTCTTAAATTAGTGTTAAGCTCAGTTTTAAAGAAACTATTCATAATATTTTTATCAAACTTCATATGCTGATACATACTGATGTAACCTTTTCAACTGCAGCAACAATTTTTGACCTTGACTTTTCCTTTGACCTTGACCTCACTTTTCTTAAATTAGTGTCAAACTTCATATGCTGATACATATTGATGTACATGTGTAAGCTATTCATCTGCATCAATATTTTTTGACCTTGACTTTTTCTTTGACTTTGACCTCGCTTTTCTTAATTTGTGTTAAAATGTTGCATTACTAATATACCCTCGGCGGGGCATTCATGTCCTATGGACATATTTCTAGTTTTTTTCTATTTAGTTTAAAAGATCAAGAATTACACATCAAGAGGCCCTTGGGCCAAAATGCTTACCAGAGGTAAATTAAAGATACAGCGATGATATGTTGGACTCATTTAATCTTTCGAATAAAATGATCTGTCTTTTATGATAAATTCGCATTAATCGTCTTCAATCTACATTATGTAGAATGCTTCCATATTGATTTGACAAATGTATCATTGTTTTAAATCTTTTTTTAATCCCTTATATATTCCAGAGAGAGAGAGAGATATTTACATGTATAATCCCTATCTACCGGTTAATCAAGTTGCGATTTCAAGTATATTTTTTAGCAGGTCAATGATTTTAAAAGCGTACAAACATGTAATTCTCGAAATATAACAAAAGATCTAACAATATGAATAAGAATAATTACGTTGTGTTTCAGAGGCTTTTGGTATATTTTCACTAAAACTGAAAGAACAAGCATTTATTAACTATCTAGTGTATGGCAAACAAAGGTGAGTTGCAAGCATTTTAAACTAAACAATATATATATATATATATATATATATATATATATATATATATATATATATATATATATATATATATATATATATATATATATATATATATATATATATATATATATATATATTTCACGAGCATTTTGAACGAAGAATCTTTTTATTCAGATAAAAATCCATTTCCAAACTTCTTCTGATCGTCTCTTTTTTATCCAATGACAAGCGTTTCTTCCAATCTGAAGATAAAGAATTAAGATAATAGTCGATCAGTTGTTGCATATTTAACCAAGATAAAAATGAACTAATTAGTTTTTGACTCTGTGATGTTTTAAAAATGAAAATCAACTTTTTAACTTTTTTAACTATTCATCTTTCTTTACTGGACCATGAACTTGACGGAATTAACTTTGAAGGTAGCTGAAATACATGTATATCTTTGTGTTTTTGACAGCGCTACTTTGCCATTTCTTTAATATTGGTCTAATGAAAATAAAAATTCAAATGTTTACATCGATACCATTCTTGCATTCAAAGGTGGTTTTTTTTTTAAAGAAACTTACTCTTTTTCACAGATGAAATTCATTCTCTCGTCACAATGTGAATCATTCCACGAGAAGTCCACTTCGGGCCACATGTGTGCGCAGTCTTCATTACTTTCGTAATCGTCGGGGAAGTTACGCGCCCAATCAGTGAATGAGAATGGAGCTTGTGACTTCATCCATATCCATTCCCCCTCAATAACAGCATCCGTCCCTCCAATCCAAAACCCGGACTTTACTGCAAGATAACTTTCAATGAGGATGTATGAATGTGATGCTGTTAGCTGGAATGCCAGCTGAGCATATAATTTACAGGCGCAGATCCATGAATTCTTTCGGGGGGGAGGGGGGCCCACCCTAATAAAAAAAAAAAACCCTGAACTTTTTTTTCCAGACGTATCAAACCCAGAAAATTTCTTGACAAACAAAAAAATTTAAAAAAAAGAAAAAAAGAAAAAAAAAAAAGTAAAGTCCATTCCTAAACGTGCAAAAAACTATTTCGTGGTGGTGGGTCCACGTTTTCTGGGGGTGGGGGTGGGGTGGGGGGGATGGTGTTCCAAAGTCATTTTTATTTGCTTCATTATATACATTTGATAAATCCGCAGATTCCGGGGGGGGGGGGGGTCCGGATCCCACCCCACCCCTCTAGATCTGCGCATGATCTGTAAAAGAAGAGGGGAGAGGAGTTTTCCCCTATTTACTTTTTCAAATAACTTCCTATTTGAAAAGAACATAGCTTTTGACAATACATGAACCGTCTTTATCGATGCATTATTTGAAGATTTAATAGAAAAACAATTCTGAAATTATAAGGTTATTTAGAATTTTCTTACAGAATCATCATGACTTCGTAAAATGTTAAAAATACATAAAATTAACACAGGTGAAAGCTGGAAGACAAACGGACAGGGCGCTGCATGTACGAATGATGGAAATATTTCGAGTTTTTGGCTCAAGTAAGGTGTAAGTAAGAAGAGTGCATTTCTATACATTTTATTAACTTAAACAAACTTTTTTTTATCACCAATATCCATTTCTAAATCAATTACACTAGTTTTTTTTTTTTTTAAATTGGGTTTTTTTGTTTTGTTGTGTTTATTTTATTTGTTTTTGTTTGTTTGTTGTTTGTTTATTTGTTGTTGTTGTTGTTGTTTTTTTTTTGTTTTTTTTGTTGTTTTGTTTTGCTTTAAAAAAAAGTGTGCTGTCTGCACAATGCATGCAGTATCCAGGTCTTCATTAGGTGACGCCTTGTATTTGTACTCAATAAGATTGTTTTTGTTTGTTGTTTGACTCTTATGGAGACGCCACCACTTGCCGAGGGAGGGCTGCAAATTTATACCCATACTCGGCACTCAGGGCCATTGAGCAGTGAGGGATCTTTTTCCTGCCAATTAACACCTACTGCGACACGGGACCTCGGTTTATACGGTCTCATCCGAAGGACCGGTCTCCACGTTCCGCAGTGGATTCGACGTAAGGATCAGCTCCTTACTCCGGGAGCCACCCTTTCAATGAACATTTTCAGCTGTAAATGGTTTCGTTTGGGAAAAAAGTGGGCCTTTCCCCTGCCCCCTCTCTGATTCTACGTGTCATGACAACATGTTAGGCATGTCTGTTCTAGACTTGACAGGTCTTCAGATGCTCAAAACTTGGCCTATTAACTAATGATGGGAAACCTACATGTATATACCACACAGCAGTGATTATAAGTTTACTTAAGAATAAAATACGACATCTTTGTCGGTGGAGGGAAAGGGGGTGGGAAGGGCACGATGAGGAATGGTATTTTGAATACCATCAATTGTACACATGTATAATATGTATATTATGTTAATTGAGTAAATAAATATTTACACGTAAGCTTTATACGGTGCCATAAGTGAATAATTTTACCGTGCTGGTGTGCTGTTCGTGCTTGACTTTGTAGATAATTGTTCTCTTCGTCCGTCTCAATCTCAACGAGTTTTGCACCCAACATGCTACAGAAGTACTGAAGAAAGGATCAGTGTTAGACGTTTCAGAGCAAATTTCGTCTATTTAAGACTAATATTCGTTAAGAAATCATAAACTAAAAGAGAAATTTCAGAAAAGTCATTCTAAATTCTTCTACCTGTGATTCCGTCCAGTCGTTATCGACGTGTGTCACAAAAAGGTAACATGACGAACTGTTCTTCAACCAACCGTGCGGACAGTTTCCGAATCCAAAATCTGGCTGTGCGAACGCACCTGAGTCAAAGATTATGTTTTTTAGATAGTATTGAATGATTTATCGGTGATCTAGCGAGCTTACCAAATCTAGTGTTTGGTTGAGTGCATACTAGTATGTTTACTGGTATTTATATTGCATAATTGTCCTCAAACCTTGTGCATACTAGTATTTTTTTTGTATCGATAAATTGACCAAGAAAAGTAACCGTCGAAGTAGCATTTAGCGGATACTACTCACTTTTCTTTTCTTTTTCTTTCTTTTTTTTTGTTTGTTTTTTTTTTTTGTTTTTTTGTTTTTTGTTTTTTTTGGACACTTCAAAAAGACCAATAGCTGTCAACGTGAGCCTCGACATGGGAATTTCCTTTGTAAAGAATTCGAAAATTCATAAAGAAATTTTTTTTTCACAAATGCAACTACTCAACAGTTCTCCTGGTCACGCCCCTTGTGCTCGGACTAATATTTAGGTACGTTAGGCTCAAACATGACGTCACAATGATAAATTGTTATGAAAATAGATTTTAAAAACACCTAGTTTTAAAAATATAAGGGGTAAAAAATGTAGATATCTCGGTGAATATTCTTTTCTATGCTAATCCTACAATATTTAGAAAAAACATATTACATATGCGATTATTTACCAGCTATAAAGGTAGAGAGGTATATCCAGAACATGATCAGGTCCTATGTATACACATGTAATTAAGTAGGTTAACACAAGATAAGCATTATTAAGATATGTCGGTCAATGAATACCAATGGACGACAAGCAGAGAGTCCCACTTACTGATATCTCTAGCAATTGTTGCTGTAAACATAGGTCTTGCCCCCTAGGACCATGAGATATACGTACATGTACGTCTGTATTTCAAAACAAAGCGGGCGAAGGGGAATAACCCTTTTTTGCTCCATATTGTACATATTTTTTACATGTCAAACAAAATCTGAAATAGAGGAGACCCTTTGTTCAGTCGTTCTCTCTTTATCGTGACTAGTTGTATCAATGGAATGATTAGACTCCTCTTTTGATAAAAATGGAAAATTCTTTTTTATGATATGACAGTTTTAAAGAGAAACATGGTCCGTAATTTTGCCTTTTCACTTTTTTATTTCTGGCCATAATCGTAATTCAGTATCAAATCAGTTACTAGTATCATATACAACCAACGACTTCAGAAAGGAACACGTTGCTTTAAGTTTGTATATGCTTATCTATGAGAATAATCTTTTCTTGAACTAGTAGATCTGATTCCCGGTTTGATGTACGCCGACCTGTTTCGCTCCATCAATTAAACTGTATTCCATCGACCAATCACACGAAGCGTAACGAAGTGATAACGCCAAAACCTCCCCCAAGGATGTCAATAGAGAAAATTTTATTTGTCCGTCTAATAAATTGTCTGATTACAGCATATAAAACACTAAATATGGGGTTTGGGCTAAAGAGACTAGTAGAACCCTGACAGAGTAGTTGCAAAAATATGATAAGCAACACTGTTGGTACCTTGGAAATCAGCCTCGAAGCGGGGAACCCCCCGTTTGTTTATAATTTTTGTTTCTTACCTTGTGTATGTTTGTTATACCGTATATGGCCATTTTTAAACCTTAACAGATGTACAAACCAATTGCACAGAATGACATACAGATAGAATTGACGGAGAAATAATATTTTCGAGAGAAAAAAAGCCTCCTTATATTTTATTAGTTAGTTGGGGGGGGGGGGGGGGACCCACGCTTCAAGTGCCTGTGATGTTACTAGGCGCTATAGTACTACCTGCCTGAATCAAGACTTCGAGCTTTGCATGATTTGACATTTGTTGGTAACGGGCTAACTGCTCATTGTAATAATGCAAACATATTGCCTTCCATGGTAAGAAGACTTTCCAAGATGTATATTCAGTATATGTATCCCTGAAGAGGGTGCTGAACTCTAGATATGAATTTTACCGTTTGAGTGATACCTTTGTTTTGTACTTTTCGGGTTAATTAAAACATGAGGAATATCTGAAATCCAATAACATGTACCAGTATTACTAATTACTAATATTAATTCACCAGAATTTTGTTGTTGTTTTTTTTTTTTCAAGGTTAGTATTTGTATCTTTAATCCAGGCAATTTGGCAGTGATAATATTTTTAAAAGTAAGGTTTCACAAGAGTTAATTCAACACTATAAAATAATTGTTTACGACATATTATGAATTAACAATAGTTTCTTCCATTTATATCGATACATCCCAGTGAACTCGAAATAAAAGATACCAGAGTATGACACATCTTAATATTTGGATATTTTACTAGAAAATGACGTTAATAGTAACCTAACAACCAAACTTTATGATAATCGTGATAACCTAAACTTTTCTATCGTCAACTTCACTTGTTTATGTAGCAATACACCGTTATCACCTGTATAATTATGAAGATTGTCTCCCGGATGATTCAATACGCAAGAGCATGCTCTACGTACAATTTGTAAGAACAATTTCTTAAACGAGGCAAGTTACCGACAAACAAGTTGATGAAAAAAGATTTTCAACAGTCTCGCTGACAGTCAACATTACGGAAGTTCTATTGGTCGATTAAATGACCTTGTCAGCAAATACAATCTATACTAAGACGAATACTGACAGACCTTTTTCATACTAATTGTTAGGCCATTATTTACACACTGATTTGTCTATAGACGGATTTTTCCGTTTGTCCGATCATGACTACATGTAGGACTCCACGGCCGGTGTGACCGGTTGACAGAGGATGCTTACTCCTCCATGGCACCTGATTCTACCTCTGTTGTTTTTAGAAGTTTGTGTTCGCTCTGCTTCCAATTTGTATTGTTTCAATGGACTTTTGAGCTTGATTAGTCTTTGTTATCTCCATATTTCATTTTTATTACACTAAGGGTAATAACAATAACCCTTTCTGTAAAATAAATTACAGTAAGGATAATCAAGGGTTGCAACAATACCCAACCTAACTTCGAGTCTCCGCTCTCGATCTCAAAAGGGAAACTAAGGTTCATGCTCGTGTTGAAAGGCTCTATCATTCAACTTTTTCAACTTAAAAAAATGTCATCTACGTCTTTCTTTGTTTATTTCTTCACAAATTCTCATTTCCCAATTACAAACGGGGTTTCCTCCAATCTGTGAAAAGAGAATGTGAAATACTTATTTATAATTATATATCAACTTGAAATTCTTATTGTTTTCTTTCCGAGGGTCATTAATTTTTTAAGGACGCTTACTATACATACTAATGTGAGGCTTACAAAATCTTTAACTCTATATCAAAGCATTAAATTTGGGAACATCTATGGTGTCTCAAGTAAAACAATATATTAGGATACCCCGAAACCTATTTTGTAATTACATGTATTATGATTTTAATTACGTGAGTTCGCAGATAAAACACATTCTGTGATCACAATCTTCGTCATTCCACTCAAAGTGCTGAGCCTTGTACAGATGGGCACAGTCCTCGTTTTTACGGTAATCATCGGGAAATCCCGGGGCCCAGTTGGAGTAAGTGAAATTCTGTCCCGTGGTGACCCACATCCACTCGCCCTCTACAACGGCATCCGTCCCTCCAATCCAAAACCCAAAAGTCCCTGAAAAAAGTCATTTTACAAACACTTGGTTTTAAGAAAATGTCCCTTTTTATGAATTGTAAACTTGTTTGATGGCCTGTAGCTGGAACGTGTTTACCTGGGTTCTCATGGACTTATTTGATGGTCTGTAACTTGAGAAATGTTTACCTGGGTTCTCGTGGACTTATTGATGGTCTGTAACTGGAGAAATGTTTACCTGGGTTCTCGTGGACTTATTGATGGTCTGTAACTGGAGAAATGTTTACTTAGGTTCTCGTGGACATGTTTGATAGTCTATAACTAGAGTAATGTTTACCTGGTTTCTCGTGGGTCCACATGTTTGATAGTCTATAACTAGAGTAATGTTTACCTGGGTTCTCGTGGGTCCACATGTATGATAGTCTATAACTAGAGTAATGTTTACCTGGGTTCTCGTGGGTCCACATGTTTGATAGTCTATAACTAGAGTAATGTTTACCTGGGTTCTCATGGACATGTTTGATAGTCTATAACTAGAGTAATGTTTACCTCGGTTGTCGTGGACATGTTTGATAGTCTATAACTGGAGTAATGTTTACCTGTGTTCTCGTGGACATGTTTGATAGTCTATAACTAGAGTAATGTTTACCTGGGTTCTCGTGGACATGTTTGATAGCCTATAATTAGAGTAATGTTTACCTGTGTTCTCGTGGGTCCACATGTTTGATAGTCTATAACTAGAGTAATGTTTACTTAGGTTCTCGTGGACATGTTTGATAGTCTATAACAAGAGTAATGTTTACCTGGGTTCTCGTGGGTCCACATGTTTGATAGTCTATAACTGGAGTAATGTTTACCTGGGTTCTCGTGGACATGTTTGATAGTCTATAACTAGAGTAATGTTACCTGGGTTCTCGTGGACATGTTTGATAGTCTATAACTAGAGTAATGTTTACCTGGTTTCTCGTGGGTCCACATGTTTGATAGTCTATAACTAGAGTAATGTTTACCTGGGTTCTCGTGGACATGTTTGATAGTCTATAACTAGAGTAATGTTTACCTGGGTTCTCGTGGGTCCACATGTTTGATAGTCTATAACTAGAGTAATGTTTACCTGGGTTCTCGTGGGTCCACATGTTTGATAGTCTATAACTAGAGTAATGTTTACCTGGGTTCTCGTGGACATGTTTGATAGTTTATAACTAGAGTAATGTTTACCTGGGTTCTCGTGGACATGTTTGATAGCCTATAATTAGAGTAATGTTTACCTGTGTTCGCGTGGGTCCACATGTTTGATAGTCTATAACTAGAGTAATGTTTACTTAGGTTCTCGTGGACATGTTTGATAGTCTATAACTAGAGTAATGTTTACCTGGGTTCTCGTGGGTCCACATGTTTGATAGTCTATAACTGGAGTAATGTTTACCTGTGTTCTCGTGGACATGTTTGATAGTCTATAACTAGAGTAATGTTTACCTGGGTTCTCGTGGACATGTTTGATAGTCTATAACTAGAGTAATGTTTACCTGGGTTCTCGTGGGTCCACATGTTTGATAGTCTATAACTAGAGTAATGTTTACCTCGGTTGTCGTGGACATGTTTGATAGTCTATAACTAGAGTAATGTTTACCTGGGTTCTCGTGGACATGTTTGATGGCTTGTAACTGAACAAAGTTGTCTTCCTCCATCGTCTCTATCTCCACAAGTTTGGAATGTAACATATGGCAGAAGTACTGTATCAACAAAAACAATACTCACAATAGAACTGTTAGATTAATATAAAGACTGAGCTATATTTTCCCCATAAGGAGGAAAATTTACAGTCATAAAATTGTCTCTCAACTCCCCTTAAAAAAATGTAAACCACGCCACATTAAAGAAGACAAATCAACTACAATAATAGAGAATTTCGTAATGAAAAAAAAAGATGAAAGCGTTTCTGCGGTAATAAGCGGTGTTTTACCGATTATTGCTGACAAGACTCAAAACACTGCATATCACAGACCGCATTGGACCAAGAACAGATGAAAAGTGTATTATATAGTTCTTGCCCTGTTCGTCCGTCTGTCTGTCTGTTTGCTTGTTGGCCGCTAAAACTTAAACCTTACCCATAACTTTTGATTGGTATGAGCTGTGGCTTTCATATTTCACACGTGTATTCCTTGTGACAAGACCTTTCTTTGAGTATCACATATTTGACCTCTTGACCTTGGAATTTGACCCACTTTTGCAAAAAATTATCCAAATTTAATCTTGGCCATAACTTTTAAACAGTTGGTGCTAGGGCTTTCATATTTCACATATGTATTCATCGTGACAAGACCTTTTCATGGGTGTTAAAAGTTTTAACTTTTTGACCTTGACCTTAGAGTCGACCCCTTTTAAAAATCTTTTAGCCTTGGTCATAACTTTTGAACAGCTAGTACCAATGCTTTCAGATTTCACAGATATATTCCTTGTATCAAGACCTCCCTTTGGATACCAACAGTTTTGACCTTTGAGTTTGACCCACTTCTGAAAAACTTTAACCTTCGCAATAACTTTTGAACAGTTGGTGCTAGGACTTTTATATTTTGCATGTGTATTATGACAAGGTCTTCCCATGCGTACCATTAATTTTGACCCTTTGACCTTGACCTTAGAGTTTGACCCACTTTTAGAAACCATAACTTTTGAATGGGTGGTGCAGGAGCTTTCATATATACCAGGTATATCCATTGACACAAGTCCTTTCTTTGGGTAACAATATTTTTGATCTCTTGACCTTGGAGTTTGACTTGCATTTGAGAGACTTTAACTTTCGCCATAAGCTGCCATACGGGGACATCAGTGTTTCACAAACTCATCTTGTTTTGACAGTGGTGATGCTCCTAATGTTACGATGGGAGTGAAACGGCAGATAAATGGAATAATAAAAAAGCGTTTTGAAAATATGAAATATGAGTATATCTCTCAAAAGCTTAAATCAGAATCTTATTTTTATCAAACAAGCACAAACTGACTTTGATAGTTGATAAAGGTGAGCTGTATATTAGAAAAAGACCTCAGATTCCGTCCAGTCATTATGTACATGGGTAACAAACAGGTAACATGACGTCCCCCACTTCGTCCAGCCATGTGGGCATTCTGACGCGGGCTGAGAGACCGCTCCTAGAAATATTAAAAATATACCAACTTATAAAATGTACTTATTAGGTACGTTCTGGTTGAAATTTATCCATAGATAAAAATTAATGTGAAAATTATCTCTCCAAATTATCCTACTGGACCTTATAGATCAAGCATACTGAAACTTGTGTAATTAAAGTCAAAATATTTGTTACTAGAGCAATGTTAATTAATTTTAGCCACTTCGCTTTACACGGTCATTCAAATCTTGTTTGCTTCTTGTGAACAGAACAGAAAATCGAGGTATTCTTATTACATGAATTTTACAATTAGTTGTGGACTGCATAATATATTCTCTTTCATATTTTAGAGGCATTCCTAAACTATTACAAGTAGAAAAGCTTATTAAAGAAAAAGTGCATTTTGAATATGTTATCAACTTAGGCCAATTCTCGGGTCTAAGCTGCTAGGGACACACATATCACAATTTCGGTAAAACCAGATAGTTTACTGCTATCATGCTTGCTAAATATCCAGGAATAAATAAAATTTTCAATCGAACACTCTATAATAAAGCTCAATATATATGAGGAACTAGCCCCAACCTAGGGTCTGCATTCTGACTGCTAATTATAAGTATGCAAACAATGAAAAAACGAATTTCACAGATGTAATGTATTTTCAATGTAAGAGAACCTTATCCTCACTGAACTCTGGACCAAAGGGCCACATCAGGGCAAAGAGCTTACTGTCAGCGTGTAAAAACTCAGGACAAAGAGCTAACTGTCATCATGTAAAAACACAGGACAAAGATCTTACTACCAGCATGTAAAAACTCAGGACAAAGATCTTATTGTCAGCGTGTAAAAACTCAGGACAAAGAGCTTACTGTCAGGGTTAAAAACTCAGAACAAAGAGCTTACTGTCAGCGTGTAAAAACTCAGGACAAAGAGCTTACTGTCAGCGTGAAAAAATTCTGACAGAGAGCTTACTGCCAGCATGTAAAAACTATGAGCAAAGAGCTTACTGTGAGGGTGTAAAAACTCAGGACAAAGAGCTTCCTTTTAGGGTGTAAAATCTCAGGACAAAGAGCTTAGTGTCAACATGTAACAACTCAGAACAAAGAGCCCATTGTCAGCGTGTAAAAACTCAGGACAAAGAGCTTACTGTCAGCATGTAAAAACTCAGAACAAAGAGCTTCCTGTCAGCGTGTAAAAACTCTGGACAAAGAGCTTCCTTTTAGGGTGTAAAAACACAGGACAAAGAGCTTACTGGCAGCATGTAAAAACTCAGGACAAAGAGCTTACTGTCAGCGTGAAAAAATTCTGACAAAGAGCTTACTGCCAGCATGTAAAAACTCAGGACAAAAAAGCTTACTGTCAGCATGTAAAAACTCAGGCAAAAAAGCTTACTGTCAGCACGTAAAAACTCAGAACAAAGAGCTCATTGTCAGCGTGTAAAAACTCAGGACAAAGAGCTTACTGTCAGCATGTAAAAACTCAGGACAAAGAGCTTAATGTCAGCGTGAAAAAATTCTGACAAAGAGCTTACTGCCAGCATGTAAAAACCCTGGGCAAGGGTGTAAAAACTCAGGACAAAGAGCTTCCTGTTAGGGTGTAAAAACTCAGGACAAAGAGCTTACTGTCAGCATGTAAAAACTCAGAACAAAGAGCTCATTGTCAGCGTGTAAAAACTCAGGGCAAAGAGCTTACTGTCAGCATGTAAAAACTCAGATTAAAGAGCTCATTGTCAGGGTGTAAAAACTCAGGGCAAAGAGCTTCCTGTTAGGGTGTAAAACAGGACAAAGAGCTTCCTGTCAGGGTGTAAAAACTCAGGACAAAGAGCTTACTGTCAGCATGTAAAAACACAGGACAAAAAAGTTTACTGTCAGCATGTAAAAACTCAGGACAAAAAAGCTTACTGTCAGCACGTAAAAACTCAGAACAAAGAGCTCATTGTCAGCGTGTAAAAACTCAGGACAAAGAGCTTACTGTCAGCATGTAAAAACTCAGGACAAATGGCTTACTGTTAGCGTGAAAAAATTCTGACAAAGAGCTTACTGCCAGCATGTACAAACTATGGGCAAAGAGCTTACTGTCAGGGTGTAAAAACTCAGGACAAAGAGCTAACTGTAATCGTGTAAAAACTCAGGGCAAAGAGCTCACTATCATCGTGTAAAAACTCAGAGCAAATACCTCACTGTCATCATGTAAAAACTCAGGACAAAAAAGCTTACTGTCAGGGTGTAAAAACTCAGGACAAAGAGCTTCCTGTTAGGGTGTAAAAACTCAGGAGAAAGAGCTTACTGTCAGGGTGTAAAAACTCAGGACAAAGAGCTTACTGTCAGCGTGAAAAAATTCTGACAAAGAGCTTACTGCCAGCATGTAAAAACTATGGGCAAAGAGCTTACTGTCAGGGTGTAAAAACTCAGGACAAAGAGCTAACTGTAATCGTGTAAAAACTCAGGGCAAAGAGCTCACTATCATCGTGTAAAAACTCAGAGCAAATACCTCACTGTCATCATGTAAAAACTCAGGACAAAAAAGCTTACTGTCAGGGTGTAAAAACTCAGGACAAAGAGCTTCCTGTTAGGGTGTAAAAACTCAGGAGAAAGAGCTTACTGTCAGGGTGTAAAAACTCAGGACAAAGAGCTTACTGTCAGCGTGAAAAAATTCTGACAAAGAGCTTACTGCCAGCATGTAAAAACTATGGGCAAAGAGCTTACTGTCAGGGTGTAAAAACTCAGGACAAAGAGCTAACTGTAATCGTGTAAAAACTCAGGGCAAAGAGCTCACTATCATCGTGTAAAAACTCAGAGCAAATACCTCACTGTCATCATGTAAAAACTCAGGACAAAAAAGCTTACTGTCAGGGTGTAAAAACTCAGGACAAAGAGCTTACTGACTGCGTATAAAACCTCTAGGAATAAACAAGATTTCGAAGGTACACTGTAAAAAAAAAATGTCAACAATGTGATCAACTGCATTTCTCTTGGAACCTAATTCTGTACTCATGTATTTTAAAATCGTAGTAGATGGTTATTTGCTTATTATAATGTCTGCGGAATACCCTTGAGAATACTTTTAAATGTGTAATAAAGTGTAACTGCATTACCAACAATCCCCAACCTCCTGGAGCCTGAACCCGAGGCCATGCATAGTTTTTGGTAGGGGCTGGCTGCTTATTAAAATCATGCTTAAGTTTGCCTGCTACATATCCATGAATGAAAGAGATTTTCAAAAATTTAAAATGACTAACATCCTGAACCTGCACTCAAGGCCTGAATTTTTATAATTTTGGTAGATGGTAACCTGCTTATTATAATTATGTAAACAGTTTGTCTGCTAGACATCCAGTAGTAAAGGAAAAAAATTTAAAGAATATTATTTCAATCTATGACCAAATTAGACCTACTGAGAGGCCTTAACCTGGACACATGGATTTTACTAATTTGGTGGAGACTAGGTGCTTAGTATATTCAGCGTGACTGCTTGATGTTCGGAGTAATGAAGATTGTTGAATATTACACTAATTTTGGCTCCACCCCCAGGCCTTTTATCAAATTTCCTCTTGAGACTTCATATGGGGTTACGGTCGAAGATCGAAGCACCAGAAAAGTGTAAAGAAGCTCCACATTTTGTGTAACTGTCAAATGTTAAAAGAAATGAAGATACTATAGGGTCATTAAAAAATGCCAGATATATGTGAAAATCCAGTAAACAAAACGAATCCTGAACAGGGCAAAAACATGGACCCCTGGAAACACCAGAAGAGGGATCAGGTGCCCATGAGGAGTAAGCATCCCCGTCGATCGGTCATACCCGCCGTGAGCCCTATGTATTGATCAAGTATACGGAGTTCTCCGTAGTCAAATCAAATTTAGCATAAAAGCGATACCTAAAAAATGGTATCGAACATGTCAGACAAAATGCGACTCAACGATAGCTGTATTTACAATCAAGATCTTTATAACGACCGCAGAATTTGCTAAAAGCTGTCTTTAAACGGATTTGTTGAAATCCTTGTAAGGTCAACTTAATTGTCAGAAGCTTGTCTCGGTTTAAAAACTGATCGCACTCAGAGCATACTCGAATCAGTTGGGATAAAAAACACCATATGCAGGTTATGTTGGAATATTACTACATAAATAAGGGAAATTGACGGTAGTAGGCTGAAGTCATCCCGTTTTTCATACAGTTTAGTTATTAGTTATTATCGTCTATAGTCAGTAAAATATCCATATTAAAACTATATATGGTAGACATATTAATTTAACAATAAATTTACACAATTCGGATAAAAAATCAAATCTATCGTGATATATTTTAAAATTATCTGAAGTTTAAGGCTGCGTAAATAGGGTCACGGAGCACGTTCAAAATTGAGTGATTCAATATCAACGCACCTTAAAATGTGTATAGTCAAATCTCTAATACATGGCGCTTGAACGAAATAAAATTTATACTTTCAAACTTAGCATCATTTTAGATGCTAAACTGTAATGCAATACATTGCCTCGTAAAGAAATCAACTTCAGAAGACGGTAGTTCTCTCTGAAACAAGCAAAGAAAATGACGTCGAAGGAAGTCACGGAACAGCGACTACATATACATTATGTAGCGATAAAACTTTTCCATTCGGGTATTTCTAAAACAAAATATGAAAATGAAATGTATCAAAAGTGATCCATGCATTTGAGTATAAATTGCAAAGACAGTATATGAGTCGTAGAGACTTTGAATCAGACGAAGGATGGTCTGCGAGGAAACAGACTATAGGTAAAAATCTGGTCAAAAGAGTGGGTAATGTCATTAAAAGTGACGTGGAGCTTGTTTTTAAGCAGTTACACGGTAATGTATAAGAATTTGAAAACACTAACAAACTTATTCATCCTACTTGAACAACTGTTAGCAAACTAAGTGTCAAGTGTTATGGGGACATTCTCAATAAAACGGCAAGGCGCTACAGACCGTGTGAGAAATGAAAAGGGAGAGTAATTTTGAGAAGTATCACGACGATTTTGACGTAACAGTTACAGTATTGTCATGAGTGCTCCGTGGTGACAAAATGTTAACCTTGGCCCTAACTTTTGAACAGTTTGTGCTAGGGTTTTCATACTTCACCTGTGTATTCCTTGTGAGAAGACCTTTCCTTGAGTTTAAATATTTTGACCTTGACCTTGGAGTTTGATCCACTTTTGAAAACCTTAACTTTTGAATGGTTAGTACTAAGGATTTCATTGTTTCACAGGTGTATTCTTTGTGACAAGATCTTCCATTGGATACCAACAATTTTGACTTTTGACCTTGGAGTTTGAACTACTTTTGAAAAACTTTAACCTTGGCCTTAACTTTTGAACATATGGTGTTTATGCTTTTATTTTTCACAGTTGTATTCATTGTGACAAGACCTCTGCTGGGTACCAACAATTTTGACCTTGGCCTTGGAGTTTGACCTACTTTTAAAAATCTTTAACCTTGACCATATCTTATGAACGGTTAGTGCTAGGGCTTTCAAATTTCACAGGTGAATTTCTTGTCGCAAGACCTTCCCTTAAGTACCAACAGTTTTGACATTTTTTCCTTGACCATGAGTTTGAACTACCTTTGAAAAACTTTAATCTTGTCCATAACTTTTGAATGGTTGGTGCTAGGGCTTTTATACACATGTTTTTCACATGTTCTTGGGACAAAACCTTCCTTGGGCACCATTAATTTTGACCATTTGACCTTGACGTTTGACTTACTTTTGAATAAACTTTTAACCTTCGCCATGCTTTTCAACAATTGGTTCTAGGGCTTTCACAGGTATATTCCTTGAGACAAGACCTTTCTCGGGGTACCAACATTTTTTTATCTCTTGACCTTGACCTTGGAGTTTGACTTGCATTTTTGAAACTTAAACTTCGCCATCAGCTGCCATACGGTGGCATCAGTGTTTAACAAACACATCTTGTTTAAAATCAATTTCATTTCTGCATACACATGTAATACATGATTTATTTAAACATTGAAATACTTTCTTTGGTTGTTGTGTATGTTTTCTGCAACAGCTGCAACATTAAAGGATTTTGGTTAAGAAAAAATGTTTTAAATTTCCGGCACCAATTGGCCTCCTGGATGAAAATGAAAATTCCAAAACATTACAACACATCTACAGGACACAACCGATCTTATTCCAAAAGATGATCTGGATACTGTGTAGAATGTAAGAGGAGTTCTTGGAACTAAATTTTCAACAAAAAAAGAAAAACGTCGATTTTTGACCTCCAAATGGCCTCCAGGGTGAATATGAAAATTCCGAAACTTTATTACAAATCTACATCACCTATCATATTCCAAAAGATGATTTGCCTACTTTGAAAATATTTGAGAATTATTATTTTTTTTAAAGTATTTTGACCCCTAATTGGGCCCGGGGGTGGAAAATGAAAATTTAAAAGCCTTATTGCACATCTACAGGTCACCAACAGGGATATTCCGAAAGATGAATGTAAGATGAATGTAAGACAGTGACGGACGGACGGACGGAATGAGATAACTTTCTTTTGAAAGTACCGGTATGAAAATACGGCGAGGTACATTTTCGACAACCAACGTTACCTTTGTCATCCAATACAATTTGACATGGATTTTACAAAAGCAGTACTGAATTTTTAAAGTACAAAATGACAACATCAACTTGACGTAACAAAATTTTTCAACGTTTCTGAAATTAATGAAGATATATATTTGGTGGGCAACCTATATTTTATCTGCAATTAAAATCGAATTGGGACAACTGCCAACAGCAATGACAAAGATAACCCAAATTACATAGTTCGTCTCTGATGTACATTCTGTATGCGCACCTCTCGGATTTTCGCTACAACATACCTTCTAGAACGGATGCCAATAGTAGTAACCACAACATTTTATTCAATGTTCGAGATAACAGCAATGTGTACCAGATTTTTACCAGAACACAATGACGTCTGTGGTCAACTTTTGGAAGTGTCAACCTATGATTGGTTAATTTGGTTTTCATGGGCTACCTTTCGCATTTAGAAAGTATACATACAACAAATATTAAAATCAGTACATACAGTGTACATAAATGACGGATGCCAGTTCTAGTGAAACTTGGCATATGTGTTTTTTTTTCTTAACATGGATTATAAAGTATACCAAGTAAAATAAATATTTAGTACGATTTCTATTGCAGAGTTTTTGTTGAACGCGAGTGTGACATCATATTCTACAAAGACGCAGTATCATGAGACATGAGAGAGAAGTGGGGTCCAGAAGCAGTCTAAATGGGCCGGGAGTGAAATCAAGGAAATTTTTGCATCGTGTTTCTGACCCCTGTGAATCAGAGAGGCAATTTCAAAAGTTCATCACGTGGATTTTGGGAGCATTTCGACAGTAAACTGTATTTAATACGCTGTTTTTACCAATAGTCACCATTGGGAAGTTAAAACAACCAATTACACGAGTTTACATGTAGGACAAGTGTAATACGCATACTTATTACAGATGTCATGCGGTGAAAATCATTTCAGATACATGTACTTTTGTTTATAAATGTTGGTAAATATTTCTGACAAATGTATGATAGATCTACTGTAACATTATAAGCGAAGTAGATAAGGAATCTAGGCTGACCTTCCTACAGAAATGTCAATGTATCCCTGAAGAGTGATTACGGTACCATTACTAATATATACACGACTGGGTCATTTTCCAGGTTAATTTTAATAGTGATAGCACCAAATTTAGGGCTATACGTATAAGAATATAATCATACAATGACATGATAAATGACAGAACCTTCCTCGGGATCTCCATGCATGAGGAAAACTCGGCAACACATCTTTATTTTTTTTTCATTTCTTCTGCAAATATCTTTTAATGTTACTTGTTAATGTTGTTTAATTGTGTGTGTGTGTTTTTTTTTTAATTGTCTGAAAATACCTTAACCGGAAAAAAAAAATACCAACTCATTTCATTTATCAATAAAAGAAATTTAATTATAACACATGTATTGCACAAAAGCATTTTTTAACAAAAAATAATGCATATTTGTTTTATACAAATAATAACTGTAGAAAATAAATCAGAGAAAAGTCGACTTAACCATCATCTACACATTCATTGCTTTATACTAGTAAGTGGTTTGTTTTAACCAAATACAGATACATGTACATCATAGGCATGCAACAATTACTTCATTATCAGAAATAGCTGTTAAAAGTCACCCTTAATAAGAAAATAGGTGAGACATTTTTCAATTGTGAAAAGAGATGTTTATAACATATGTCAGTAACTCTTGTAAGATTCAGTAACAGTCTCTATTAATAATAAATACCACAGGGTTAGTTGTCAAACGTTTATATCTAACAATACCAAAGGGTCAGTTGTCAAACGTTTATATCTAGATAACAATACCACTGGGTTAGTTGTCAAACGTTTATATCTAGATAACAATACCACAGGGTCAGTTGTCAAACGTTTATATCTAACTAGGTATATCTGTAAAGATCCCTTCTGGTCTTTGTTTCTGAGGATCTTCATCTCCGATAGTATCACTTACAATCTGAGAAATAAAGGGAAGAGAACAAAATAAAAATACAGGATTTATTTTCAGGCCCATGGGCCACCCACACTCACCAGGGTCATCATCCTCTTTCTGGCCAACAAATAACATACACATATACATGCCCTTGCACTGTTATCTCCAAAAAGGTCCTTGATTTCAAAGATTTTAATTTACAGTATATTGAGGCTTGATGTCACTAAATTTCATGGGGATATTGGCATCTTCATACAAATAATCTGTTTTCTATTCCTATGTAAAACTTTTATTCATTATTATGGGCCCTTCATGGCCCCAGAGGAAATAATTTTACAAACTTGAATCTACACTCATTACAAAAGCCTTCATATATATGTAATCTTTTCTGGTTTTCGAGATGAAAATTTTTAAATAACACCATCATATTTTCTATATTTGTTGTTTCCCTCTTGAAAAATGTGATGACCATCCAAACAAATCTCCTTCACCCAAGAAATCTTTGTGGCAAGTTTGCTTGAAATTGCCCCAGTGGTTCTTGAGAAGAAGATTAAAATGCATGTGAAGAGACTACATAAAGAGAAATGTACATACACCAGAAAATTATTAATCAGAAATGCTCAGGTGAGCTGCATTTATAAAGTTAAGAAATAAAATTGTAATATATATTGTCAACTTGGAATAATGATTACAACTAAAACTTTCTACAAATATTAGAGCCAGGAAATAACAACCACATATTTCTATGTAGCTTTAGCATAGAACTGTGTTTTTAATGCACACAACTTGCTTCAACACAACTCTCTAATTCACTAGGAATCTGCATTATCATCACTGTATTGATAAGTTTACTGTGGTTTAATCAATGTACCTTTACTCGTCCTGGTATAATGCAACCTGTTACCTGATCTCATCATTTGATTGACAAGCTAAATGTGCTGTATGTAGATTTATTTGTAGGATTTTCCAATTTACCTGTCTTGCATCAGCACGACTTAAGTCACCTCGACACATCAGAAGATTAATCAGCTGATCGGGTTTCATGTCTGGGTACTTTGTGACCAGACCCTGTCCAAGAGAAAATCAAGTCATGTTAAACACATCTGATACCCTACTGGAATTTTATTCTTAAGTTTATATAGAATGAACATTTGATTATTGGAAATAGAACTTAATAGCACAGCTCAAGGTTACAGCTACGAAGAGTACAAGCACATTCAGAGAATTGTGGTCTCCTGCTTTCAGGGTATTATTGGATGGATGCAGTGATCTATGGCAATATTTTAACTCTTGTTTGTTCCTTATGCTAAAAAATATACATTTTTTGAATTAATATGTTCTGGTGCAAAAGTTATGAATTATATTAAAAATTTTGAAAATCAACCTTCAAGGTCCCAGGTATTGAAATAAAAAATTATAGTTTATTCAGAAAGGACTTGTCTAAGGCAATGCCAATGAGTAACAAGAGGCCCATGGGCCACAATGCTCACCTGAGTAACTACTGTATACAGGGTTATTTTTGCCTTATGTTATTTTTGCCCTTTCACACTTGCAAATTTAACAATTTTGCCCCATTTTAAATTCGCCCAGTCACAGTTCTATTTAAAAAATTATACTGTTTTCTTTGAATTTGAACCATCTTAAATTCGCCCACGTGTCTAGGGTGAATGGGGCGAAAATAAAATGAGGCCAAGATTTCCCTGTATACAATATGGCCCTTCTGTCAGCAGATTCTTTTTCCTCAGATGAGCTAATAAAAAAATAATGATTTTTTTTCATATTGTGTATTTTGTTGTTTAAAGTAACAAGTAAATCTTATATCAAAAAGAGTGAAGACAGTTGTAATCTGCTTTATTTTAAACAGTAATATCTAAGTGAATTTTTAAGGAGTCTCTTCCAGTCAGTGATCGAAATTAAGATCAGGTTTGGTTTATACTAAGAAACCCATAATGGTGGTTAATTTCTGACCTTTTCAATAATTTTGGCTGTAAAAATTGAGGGCAACAATTCAACTTCAAAATTCCATATTTGTAACATGCTAGTATCCCAATTAATGTTGTTTCATGGACATTTTTCTGCAGTATTTTTTTTTTTTTTAATTTGGGTATTCTCTCAAAAACCAAGTATTTATATATATGTATTCAATGAACAATATTGTATTTTGATTAGATTTGTGATGTGCATGCCTTCAACATCACAGAGATACTTAATATAATGAAAATTGTGCAAATTGTACATGACAATATGTCATGCACTATTCCTTTTCAAACAATGTATTACATAATTGTAAAACCCAGATGAATGTATATGAGCAAGAAAATTTTTTTTGTTAGAAATATATTGGCGGCTGGCAACACGAAACAAAACTAGTTTTATTTTTAGCCTCAAGGATCAACAATATTAGTCTAGTACTCGGTAACAATTCATAAAGTGGATCTACTGGCTCCCAGTTGTCACTATCACCATGCAGACTAAACATAACAGTAACACTTCACTGTATTAATAAACCCATCTCATTACTTCTCACATTGGCCTCTCTTGGTATTTTAAGTAAATTTAATAAAATAAGTTATTTTTGTCTCATTTTTCATTTATCTAAATTGACTACAAGTCTACCTAACTTCTCTCCAGGGTTCGACACTAACTTTTTTAGGCTTTAGTCCGGCCGGACTAGTGCTTCTTTACTTTTACTAGTCCGCATGCAATTTTATGAGTCTGTCAAAAAAGGAAACATCAATGTTTTGTAAAAACATTTCAGTAAACGTTTTTATAATTTTTAAAAATAAACAAAGCATTTTATTTTACGTGAAATTATTTATTCCACAGCACAGATTCGTTGAAATCTCGAGATCAACGAGTACGATGGTATTCCCGATCTCGTTCTTTTTGTCTTTACATTAAATCTAAAATGTCTGCCATCTTTCTTTTATGTGTCATATAAATTATGTTCGCTAAAAAGTTTTTCATCATATCAATCAGTCAAAATATTAAGCGCTGACTTGAAATTGTCTAATGACCTGTCAAGAATCTTGTGGAAAATCGGACATTGGTAAATTATACATATTGTTTCTAGGAATTTTTATTGGTCCGTTCGGACTTATTAGCCCCAGATTTTATTAGTCCGAATGAAAATGTATTAGTCTGAGACTAACGGATTAACATTAGTGTCGAACCCTGCTCTCAGTAGAATACAAATAAATGGAGCCCTGGCCAGCACCAGAACACTTGATCAAGTGGTCCAGAATTTCAAAAATCTGGTAAAATACCCTTGCTTATTACAACTTTTATTCTGTTTGCCTCCTAGATCCCAGGAGCAGAGAAGATTTTCAAAGATGTAATATATTTTCATGTAGATTCAACACAGCCCCACCCTAACATCAGAATCCAGGATCCAGGATCATGTAATTCATAAATTTGGAAGCAGTGCTGTTGCTCATCATAACTATGCACTGAGTTGAAGATTTTTAAGAATCAATGCATTATTTATTATATTATCAATAAAACCCCTTCCCCCCAAAACACCATAAATTTTAACAAGAGGCCCATGGGCCACATTGCTCACCTGAGTAACTTTGGCCATGTTGTTCATTACCAGACTTCCCCCCATGTAATACCTATTGTGGCCCTGCCCTACCCCCGGGGGTCATGATTTGAACAATTTAAAATCTACACTACCCCAGGATGCTTCCACATAAGTTTCAGTTTTTCTGGTCCAGTGGTTCCTGAGAAGATTTTTAAAGATTTTTCCTATATATTTCAATGTAAAACTTGGGATTCCCTATTGTGGCCCAGCCCTACCCCCGGGGTCATGATTTGAACAATTTAGAGTGTACACTACTTGAGGATGCTTCCACATAAGTTTCAGCTTTTCTGGCTCAGTGGTTCTTGAGAAGAAGATTTTTAAAGATTTTTCCTACTGGGGGCCGCCAGAGAAACCAAAAATCTTGCAAAACCGATCATACAGAATTAATGTTCCGCCGAAATATGGATGAAATATTGCGGACTCGGCGTTAAACCCTAATCAATCAATCAATATATATATATTTCAATGTAAAACTTGTATTCCCTATTGTGGCCCTGCCCTACCCCCGGGGGTCATGATTTGAACAATTTACAATCTACACAACCCCAGGATGCTTCCACATAAGTTTCAGCTTTTCTGGCTCAGTGGTTCTTGAGAAGAAGATTTTTAAAGATTTGTCCTATATATTTCAATGTAAAACTTGTATTCCCTATTGTGGCCCTGCCCTACCCCCGGGGGTCATGATTTGAACAATTTACAATCTACACAACCCCAGGATGCTTCCACATAAGTTTCAGCTTTTCTGGCTCAGTGGTTCTTGAGAAGAAGATTTTTAAAGATTTGTCCTATATATTTCAATGTAAAACTTGTATTCCCTATTGTGGCCCCACCCTACCCCCAGGGGTCATGATTTGAACAAATTAGAATCTACACTACCCCAGGATGCTTCCATGTAAGTTTCAGCTTTTCTGGCTCAGTGGTTCTTGAGAAGAAGATTTTTAAAGATTTGTCCTATATATTTCAATGTAAAACTTGTATTCCCTATTGTGGCCCCGCCCTACCCCCGGGGGTCATGATTTGAACAATCTAGAATCTACACAACCCCAGGATGCTTCCACATAAGTTTCAGCTTTTCTGGCCCAGTGGTTCTTGCGAAGAAGATTTTTTAATGACCCCACCGTATTTTTGTATTTTCTTGATTATCTCCCCTTGCAAGGGGATTTGACCCTTTATTTTAACAATTTACACTCCCCTTCACCCAAGGATACTTTGTACCAAGTTTGGTTAAAATTGGCCCAGTGGTTCTTGAGAAGAAGTTGAAAATGTGAAAAGTTTACAGACAGACGGATGGACAGAGAGACAGACGGATGGGTGGACGACGGGTGATCAGAAAAGCTCACTTGAGCTTTCAGCTCAGGTGAACTAAAAACTCTTTGGAAAATCCCTTGTTCAGCATATCTATGAATTTCATTTATCTACTAAATATCCAAGAGCAGAAGAGAAGATTTTAAAAGAATTAATGCGTTTTCAATATAATATACATAATCAATAGAGTCACACCTTAACACTGGAAGCCATGACCCAGGGGCCATGAAATTCTCAGCTTTGGAAGAGGCACCCTTGCTCATCATAACTATGCACTCAGTTGAAGAAGATTTTTAAAGAACTAATGCATTTTCACTTTATAATCAATAGAGCCCCATCCTAACACCAGAGCCCCTGATTTAGGCACCATGACATTCACAATTTTGGACACTTGCTCACCATAACTATGTACTTAGTTTGTTTGGTAATACCCAGGAGAAGAGAAAAAGTCTTTTAAAGAAATATTAAATGCATTCTCACTAAACAAGGGGTGATCAAAAAGTTTGCGAACTAATTGAATAACTTCATAAAAAGAATAAAATTAGGTTTAAATATTTATTATTTTTAAAAGTAGTCCCCTCAAGTTTTAATGCACATCTGCCACTGTTCTGCCCATGCGTGAATCATGGCAGTCAAGTGACATGCTCTGTAGTGTACTGTTCACAGAAGCTTAAAGATTTTTCTGAGTTTTATATTTCTTACCACGCTGGTTATTTTTTTATATTTCTATTTCTATTTGTTTTCTCTGTGATAACTCTTTGAAAGTTAGTTGAGTTGATTTCTTGATAATTCTACCGGAATGTCAGCGAAAGGTTAGGAGCTAAGAAGGCCTAATATGCATGTAATTCTCATGTGGCTGTCTTTCTTCCTGACGCTAAGGAGGCCTAATATGCATGTTATTCTCGTGCAGCTGTCTTTTTGTTTGACGTCAGTGGGTGGGGACTATTGAAATTGACATGTGATGCCTAGTGTAATTTAACTCTATTAGTCTACATTTTTAAAATCTAAATTTACAATTTTATTTCACGATGAAAGGGAAATATAAGGAATCACTGTCTAGTTAGTAGAGTATGCCAGGGACATGCCCTGGCATACTCTACTAACTAGACAGTGATTCCTTAAATAACAAGAATAGTCCATTTGTCACAAATGGCCAATTATAGGCAATAGGATGGGTGGATAAGGATATCCTTTCGCAGAATGAGAATGGTGACCATTACAACCCAACTCCTCTGTCTTGGGTTTGTCAATTATCCAATGTGGATTAAGTATGGGTACCTTCTCTTTGTCATATCTGATATGTTTAAAGTTTGAAGTAAATGATATTTTAAGGATTTGATAATTATTTTACTGTTAAGATATTCTACTTTTTTGACTGGGAACCAGAAGGAGCATCATTTTTAGCCATCTCCCTTCCTTACCTAAAACAATCAATCCAAGTAATGATTGAACTTCTAGCAAGTCCTTTGTCTTCATTAACCTTGTACAAATTATAAAATGCTACTGCATAGGGATTTCCAAGATATACGTTAGACTTTACATCCATTCCTTGCTGAGTCAATCATTTTTTGTCACATGTCAGCTACATATTGACGTCATTTTCACATTGTGACTTTATAAACATGGAGCAAAACATTACTTGATATCTACTATTAGAACATGTTTATGGCTGTATGTGTGCCAAATTTCATTCTGATCTGAATCATGGTTTTGTAAATATAAAGATAGTTAAGGAAATTTTTGATCACCCCTTGTATAATCCATAGCCCCCCCCCCACATCCCCAATACTACAACCCTGAACCTGGGACCACAGATTTCACAAACTTTGTAAGAGGTGCCCTAGCTACAGAACTGTAGCATTATGGTTTTATATTTTAGTCTTTGACCATAACACTAAAGATCCTGTAATGTAAATAAAGTGCAATTTACGGCGCAAGATTTTCTGCACACTCTGGAGATGTATTTCGCCAGTTTCCAGCATTGGTCAATCAACCACCTTTAATTTCCTAATTCTAGACATATTCTATAGCCAACCTGTACATTTTATCCACCTCCTAACCATTTATGTTCATCTCTACAGATCAATAAACTCGTTATGCCATCTGACAACAAATTCACAAAATGGCACTTTATTTACATTACGGCATCTGTAGCGTTATGGTCAAAGACTAAAATATAAAACCATTATGCTACAGTTCTGCAGCTAGTGGTGCCCTTGGTCATTATATCTATGCACTATGTTTATGTGCTAAATACTGGGGTACTGTGAGCACTGAGCTCACAAAATGAAACCCCCACTCTCATATTACTCCATTTTTTGCTAAGAGAAAGCTCAATTATCTGTCTGATCAAAACGTAAAGTAGGAGGTGCACAATGGCACTGTGTAATAAAGATTCAGTGAAGGTATCAATAAATTTCATTCAGGGTATAGGATGAGTTGTGAATAAGAAATGGGTATCCCTAATATTATAGAAAGAATGGCAGTGTCTATGTTTTGCTATGGGAAACCTAAAATATGTATCAAATCAAAAAGAAATAGGAGGTGCGCAATGGCACTGTGTAAAAAAGATTCTGTGAAAGTTTCATTAAATTTCATTCAGTGGTATGGGGCCATTAATTTCACAATTTTGGAAAGGCATGATCGCATACCATAACCATGCTATTAGTTTGTTTAATATGTAATACCCAGGAGGAGAGATTTTCAAAGGATTAATGCATTTTCACTATATAATCAATAGAGTCCCATCCTAAACCAGAACCCCTGAACCCAGGCCATGAATTTCACAATTTTCCAAGAGGCACCCTTGCTTATCATAAGTATTCACTTTGTTTGTTTGCTTAGTACCCTGGAGCAGAGAAGATTTTCAAAGAAATAATACACTTGCACTATGATCTATATAGCCCTGCCCTAGCACCACAACCACTGACCCTAGAGCCATGAATTTCACGATTTTGGTAAAGGGCTTAATGCTTATTACAATCATGCCAACAGTTTGACTGCTTGATGCCCAGGAGTAAAGAAGAAGATTTTTAAGATTGCATTAATTTTGATAGATTTTGCCCCACTCCTCAGGTCCCAGGAAGGCAGGGATCATGAAATTCAAAAATTTTGTTCCCCTTCACTCAATGGTACAATCATTATGGCTAACTTACCGTCAGTTCTAGAAACTTCACTGATAAATCCCTCAATGGTACAATCATTATGGCTAACTTACCGTCAGTTCTAGAGACATCATTGATGAATCTCTCAAGCGCAAAACTTCAGCCAGCATTGGTAAAACAGCAAACATATCTTCTGTCTGTATTACACAATTAGTATTTTTTAAAGCCATGATATAGCATTAATAATTATCACAAAAAAGAAAAACTCTGCAAAATTAATTTAAAACACAGCAGATACCTCTTAGACTGACTGAATATTTATTATAAATATCTTTAAATCAGGAGCATTCACAATTCTGTTCATTTTCCAAAAAAGCTGGAAAAAATATATGGGATTTGCTTGAACATAAAATATCAATTTTACAAATTTTAAATTCTTTCAATTTCATGTATCAGCGGTGCTTTTTACATTTTCAACAAACATCTCTAAACGCTACATCTGTTTTACTAATTCTATTTTCTTTAGAGAAGAAAATCTGGTTGTAAAACAGTTGTCCTGTCATTTACTTGTTATGGCAGAACAACTGTTCATGTTACATCATGTAAACATGTTACAAGCTGAACATGCTCAACTATAAGAAACTCTCATGATTTACACAATTTACCTAGCAAATAATGTTTCATATTCATAGTCTGGACAATATCAAACATATAATGAAGAGTATTGATTACATTATTGCAATACAGTTGAATGCAGACATACTCAATATTTGAAAGCCACATGATAAAACTCCATGCATATGAAGTACCTAACTTCTTTTAAATTCAAAGCTTATGATCATCAATAAACTTTCTAAATATATACTGCAAGAACTGGATATACAATTATTGTAACAAGAAAAGGAAAGAAACTGATAATGATATCTAAAAACAGCTTAATAAATCCTGAAGAAAAGAACATGCTAAAAACTGGTCTCGACATCAACATTCTGAAAAAATAACTAAAACCGTAACAAATATTTGTGTGGTTGGCATGCAAGATAAAACTTACAATTGGTAATTGAATTCGTTGAGTCTAGAATTACAGCAAACATCTCACATTTCAGGGGGAAATAACTATTCCCTATACACTAATTTATCAAAATTTTAGAAAGTCTTTTCCTTAATGAATGGTAAAAAAATGCAGATCATAATGAATGTTAAAAAAATCCAAATACAAATACAGTAATGTTATTAAAGTTAAAAGTTAATTAAATTTATAATTATCAACAATCAAAACATTGCAAGAAAAAAAATTATCAAAAAATATATCAGTGAGAAACATTTTTTGTCTGTAATATATTGTTGGTTTTCATTAACGGATTACAGTTTTAGATCAGACCTTTCTGCAGGGATCCTTTCTACAAAGTAAACTAGTGTCCTCCTTAGAACGTAAACTATTAACTCTTAACATGATGTCCAATAAAAAGCACTACATACCAATAAGCTATCAAATTATAAGAAAGCACAACACACAATGGATACATAAAATAAATTCAATAGCGCATTAGAACCCACCTTATTAGTGTATTTGTGAAACAGAGAAGCCATTTGGTCTGCTTCTTTACAAATCTTGTCTGCTGCCATCTTTCTCTCATCATACGTCTTAAAGGAAAGCTTCCTAAACAAGATTTATTCATGTTTATCAGCATTCTAGTCAAAGTATTTCATCATAAAGAAAAAGATGGGGAATCTGTTCTTTTTTTAATAGTTGAAATACATGTATATGGGTGAATTAAAAAAAATGACCACCAAACTGAATTTTTTTGGAAAAATTAAACTACTTATAACATATTCTTCACTTATATCATCATATTGCACATGCATTCTACCAGGTAGTTTAAAATCCTGAAGTGGCAAAAGAATAGACAATTGGATTAAAAAGTTTCAGAATTTTTATTGGTAAAATTTCTTTTGAAAAAAGAAAATATCATTACACCTTAAAAGATTTTCTAAAATACATAATCACAAGAAATTTGAGTTTTTTATGCTTCAAAATGGTAAAAGGGGTATAAATGGTTAAATCTTGACCTTGATTGAGTATCTTCTCTTGTATATGTGACAAAAAATTGGCTTTTTGATTATTATTTTACATTATTTTTCCAATTCTGGTTTGAAAAGTTTTAATATGAAAAAAATATGAAGCAATAAAATTCCCCAAAATTCACTTTTTTGTCCGTTCAAGTCAATACTTTAAATCTAAGCCAAAAAAGAATTTTTATAAATGATTTCTCTTACAAAAAATACTAGATTTTGAAGTGACCCTATGTTACATTATTGTGTTGCACTCCTGACATCTGATATGTATTTTATTTAACATTGTTTTAAAAATTATAACACACAACTAGAAACTCATTGCGAGCAATGAGAGGTCTTCCGTCCTATTCTGAAAATAAAAACGAAATTCAAGCTGAAAAAGTGATGAAAGAAATTCAGACACTCTGGAAATTTAACCCTGGTCGTCAGCGTGAAAATCCAACGTGCTATCTCCTTAAACCGAAAGTTGACGTTTTCAAGGTTACTCTAGACATTTGCACTCTGAATTACATATTTAAAATTCATTTCAAATACTTTATCTATAAAGAATATTTATGGGAAAGTAAAATACTCAAATTATTTAGTTTTTCTCTTATAATCGGAAATTGTCGTATTTGTTTCCAGTGGGACTAACATCTTTCGAATCTGCGAAAAAAGATGCAATAAAGTGATGCAATTTTCAATTAAAAACATAGGTAATCAAAGATTACGAAGCTCACCTCGACGAATGTTATCTACATGTAAGGCAAATTTCACATCATATTTTTTTTCTAGTTAGGGTACATCCCAAGATCAATGGCCATGCAAGTTTGATTTAATTATAGACCTGCTCAAAAAACTTTTGACCTGTTTAGTAATCAAGGTAATTTTTGTCACTTCCAACATCCAAAGCAAGTCTGGAAATTTTCATCCTTAGATGCACCATCTATGCAAGTTTAATCATAACAGGCCATAATATTATATAGCTACTCCAAAAAATTACCCTGGTCACTCATCTGGAAAATGTACATCAGATTCAGAATCCAAGGCAAGTCTGGAAGTGTCCATCCCTAGATACATCATCCATGCTAATTTGGTTAAAATATGGCTAAAATTCACTCATGTGGAAAATCTAGGTCAGATCCAGCATTCGAAGCAGGTTGGTTAGTGTACATCCCTAGATGCATCATCCATGAAAGTTTGGTCCAGGTAGGGCTTATAGTTACTTGGAAACGAGACTACTCCTAAATCTAAACCTGGTCTCACATGTGGAAAATCTAGGTCAGATCCAGCATCCGAAGCAAGTGTGGTAGTGTCCATCCCTGGATGCATCATCCATGCAAGTTTGGTCCGGGTAGGGCTTATAGTTACTTGGGAATGGACCTGCTCCTAAAACTTTAACCTGGTCACTCATCTGGAAAATCTAGGTCAGATCCAGCATCCGAAGCAAGTGTGGTAGTGTCCATCCCTAGATGCATCATCCATGCAAGTTTGGTCAAGGTAGGGCTTATAGTTACTTGGGAATGGACCTGCTCCTTAAACTTTAACCTGGTCACTCATCCGGAAAATCTAGTTCAGATCCAGCATCCGAAGTAAGTGTGGCCATGTCCATCCCTAGATGCATCATCCATGCAAGTTTGGTCAAGGTAGGGCTTATAGTTACTTGGGAATGGACCTGCTCCTAAAACTTTAACCTGGTCACTCATCTGGAAAATCTAGGTCAGATCCAGCATCCGAAGCAAGTGTGGTAGTGTCCATCCCTAGATGCATCATCCATGCAAGTTTGGTCAAGGTAGGGCTTATAGTTACTTGGGAATGGACCTGCTCATTAAACTTTAACCTGGTCACTCATCCGGAAAATCTAGTTCAGATCCAGCATCCGAAGTAAGTGTGGCCATGTCCATCCCTAGATGCATCATCCATGCAAGTTTGGTCCAGGTAGGGCTTATAGTTACTTGGGAATGGACCTGCTCCTAAAACTTTAACCTGGTCACTCATCCGGAAAATCTAGGTCAGATCCAGCATCCGAAGCAAGTGTGGTAGTGTCCATCCCTAGATGCATCATCCATGCAAGTTTGGTCAAGGTAGGGCTTATAGTTACTTGGGAATGGACCTGCTCCTAAAACTTTGACCTGGTCACTCATCCGGAAAATCTAGGTCAGATCCAGCATCCGAAGCAAGTGTGGTAGTGTCCATCCCTAGATGCATCATCCATGCAAGTTTGGTCAAGGTAGGGCTTATAGTTACTTGGGAATGGACCTGCTCCTAAAACTTTAACCTGGTCACTCATCTGGAAAATCTAGGTCAGATCCAGCATCCGAAGCAAGTGTGGTAGTGTCCATCCCTAGATGCATCATCCATGCAAGTTTGGTCAAGGTAGGGCTTATAGTTACTTGGGAATGGACCTGTTCCTAAAACTTTAACCTGGTCACTCATCTGGAAAATCTAGGTCAGATCCAGCATCCGAAGCAAGTGTGGTAGTGTCCATCCCTAGATGCATCATCCATGCAAGTTTGGTCAAGGTAGGGCTTATAGTTACTTGGGAATGGACCTGTTCCTAAAACTTTAACCTGGTCACTCATCTGGAAAATCTAGGTCAGATCCAGCATCCGAAGCAAGTGTGGTAGTGTCCATCCCTAGATGCATCATCCATGCAAGTTTGGTCCAGGTAGGGCTTATAGTTACTTGGGAATGGACCTGCTCCTAAAACTTTAACCTGGTCACTCATCTGGAAAATCTAGGTCAGATCCAGCATCCGAAGCAAGTGTGGTAGTGTCCATCCCTAGATGCATCATCCATGCAAGTTTGGTCCAGGTAGGGCTTATAGTTACTTGGGAATGGGACTTGCTCCTAAATCTTTAACCTGGGACGCCGACGCTAACGCCGACGCCGACACCGACGCCGACGCCGGGGGTATAGCATAAGCTCATCTCGACTTCGTCGAGGTGAGCTAAAAAGAAAAGTTGAAATTTTTTACTTCTTTTATCACCTCCTGTGACGACTGGAAGTGACGGCTGACGCTCTGAACCCAAATGGTTTTGCCTACATCTTAAGGACTGTTGCTCATATAAGTTTGGTGTCTAAATCTCTTACCGTTTTCGAGTTCTTGCTCACACAACTTCTCGTATAGAATTTTTCAAGAACTCTTGAGTAGTTTTAATTGTAATAAACAGGCTATATTTTGGATTGTTTAACCTACCAAGCCAACTTTTTTTTTTTTAGATTTTGTCAAATCAGTGTTTTTGCAATTCTCAATGCATTTCCTATGTAAAATGTTGATAAAAGGGACTTACATAATTTTTCACCATAATATTTCTCCAAAACTCACTTATTTCATATGGTTTTTGTTTTATATACATTACTGTATTTTCATTTCCTATGACTTCTAGATATTTTAGCTGAAAATGTAAATATGGAAACAAGACAAGGACATACCGGCACCGATCTCTATTTTTGAGTTACTTCCCTTAACAGCTATAATTATATATTATTCATAAGGGTCAATAGACTCAGACTGGTTGATTGATTCTATCATGTAATTGACTAAATTGATTGAAACATATTGTCATAAAAATATTGGCATGGATTTATTTCAATTTTTATTCGTAGTTACTAAATGCTGCTTCCTTCATACAACCTATAGCTAGAAACTGATCTCAGTAGGTCTACCTTTCAGCATATGTCACATCTTTGCCTTTCCCATCATACTGAGCATAACTATGGTAAATGACGACCTGTTGGCTCTTTGTCTCCTGAATACAATGTACAACAAAGCCATTACTACTTTTCCTTCTTGCTGTATAGATGATTCTACCCGTTGAAGGAAGTACACATGCTTTTTGTTTACCTCTGTAAACATATGCTTTATTGGTTTTCACCGCTTAGAGAATTCTACACAGGAGATCACTCTCAATCACTATTTCATAAGTGAAAAAAACCTATATATTTAACCTTTTTTTCTCAGGAAAACTTTGACTTGCCAATGTCCATAAAATATAACATGGGTCCTTCAAAAATGCAAGGATTTTTAAGGATTTATTTAAAACAAATAAAAATAGCGCAGGATTCACACAGAAAAAAAAACATCATTTATAAAGATGAAAACGTAAATTAAAGGTAAAAAATGAGAAAGAAAATTCAGACATAATTGGGATTAAACCCGAAATAATAGAACACCGTTGATGTTGTAGGTTAGTGTGCGAGGTACCAGCCACCCGAGGAGCTCCGAGTGCCGACCTGCTCGTTGGAGTTTACGTAGCCTGGTCCCCTGGCTCATCCTTGCCAAGGCAGGAGTGACGCGGAGTACACGAAGCAAAACAGGGACAGGGAACCAGGCTAGAGTTTACGGAGACAGTCGTCATTTTGGACCGCTTCAAATTTTAAAATGCGAATATCTAGAGTTTGGATTTATCAATTTTTAAACAAATTATATATTAAACCTTCTTGGAAATGTCTCTATTAACCCTACTAATATCAAAGAAAAATATTGAAAAACAAAAAAGTTAGAAAATTCATTTTTTTAAATTCGCATCCGGAAACGACCGGAAGTACCGACAACAAACGAAAATTCATGTCCCGGCTAGGATTTATCACGATCTATAATCCCTGAAAGTTTCACATTGATATCTTTTACCGTTCTTGAGATTATCTGCGGACAAAATGTCTTTTTAAATTCAGAAAATGGTCTGTAACTTGGCACCGGAAGTGATTTTCCAAAAAATCTTTCGGATAAAATAACTTCAGATTACAACACATTGTCCCTTTAAATTTCATTGAATTCCATCCAGTAGTCTTTGAGAAATCGCTTGCACAAAATTAGATGGGCGGAAAAATAATAATAATAAGAAACAGTAGAATCACTATAAGGTCTTCCCTGAAAACGGAAGACCTTAATAACCCATTCTTACTTTGTAAATCAATTTGTCGTTTTGATATTTTTCATCGTTTACGGCAGGTTTTTCATATTTTGAAGACCTAAAAACATAAATATTTGCAAAGTGTAATATATATAAATTGTATTTAAAAATATATGTGAAATGATGAAAACTATTCCCTGAATTGACTGTAAAATTTCTGTAATTTGTTGATAGACATATTGTTTTGAACATCAAATAGTATCAAACATTTTTTTCAACTTATTTTTTAGTAAAGATGGTTAAAAAGCATTGGTAATTATAAAGCAGTTTTGTTGCACTCCTGACTGCAGTAAAATTTTAAATTAAAACCATAGAACACAAAAATTCATAAAGTGTTGGCAACATCAAGTGGTTATGAAATTGTGCAATATTTATAGTCCAATACATCATAATTAAAACAGATGAAAGTATTTAAAATTTGCATTTTATCTGGAATAAATCCCTATTCATGCCAAAAAACTAGCTTAAATGTATATTTAGAAGATAAAATATATTTTATTGCATATTTTCCTTTAGAGGACAAACACAGTAACCCACCAAAAAAATTCTACTCATCATTTTTTTCTTTATTTTTATTCTTATTGGATGAATTATAATTCTAACATATTTGTTGCACTCCTGACCAAAAGCATTGGGTCCTTTAAAGTAGAATTGTGAAGTGAAAATTACATAAGAAATTGTTCTGTTGTTTCGGTGAAGTTGAGGTGGAATTACTTGAATTTTATGACAATTTTTTAGTGTGTTTATTTTTAACGTTCATTAAAAAAATCACAAAAAAGATAAAAACGCATCTGAATTGATAAAATTGAAAAAGGAAGGATTTTGACAATAAAACTGTCAATAATTTAGTATTAAATTATACAAAAAGATCATTATTAATTAATGAATACTTCTAAGCATGAATAGAAGTGTTTTTGTCACACAACTTCAATCTTTAAAAAAATATGTTGCACTCCTGACCATAGAAATATAGATCAGAAGTACAGACAGATCCTGTAATTGATAAATATATTTGGTAAAAATGTTCTTTGTGTCTTTATTTTCTAAAATAAAAATCAGAAAATCATATAATGATAATAGTTTTTCATGCTTGGGAGCATAAAACATCAAATGTTGCACTCCTGACATTATTAGGTTTGCACATATACTTGACTCTCATTAATGCTGCTTGTGATTTATATAAAATTTTTAAGTTTTAAAATGTATATCAGTTATTGTTTTACGCTTTGAAAATTCTTTTTTGTCTTAATTTTCTTTCAGAATTTTACAATTGATGTTTTTTGGCAACACTACATTTTTTCTGTTGCACTCCTGACATGGTATAACATTTTTTTAAACACCAGCCATGACCACAACTTGATTAAACAAAAGTTACTACAGTCCATATTTAAAGATCAATACTTTGACTATTATTAGGAAAGTCTTTATTTTCAACATAAAGCATTATTATTTATTTCACAGATCTCCAAAAAATATTGAAATTTCAAAATGTCACAAAAAGGTGTTGCACTCCTGACAATTTTAGCATCATTTTTGGGCATGACTTTTTTGTTAATTGAGATATCAAAGAGATATTTGGCAGGTATTTAGACACTATCTAAAGACATATATTACTGAGACATAGAAATCTTTTTTCATTGCCTGTATTTCAAGTGTGGGTTGATAAATATGCATTTGGTCATTTTTTTTTAATTCACCCCTTTTCACCTTCCTTTTTTCTGAACAGCATGAAATTGTTGATAATAAAATTGGTCAATCAAAAGTGATTTCTTGGAGATAATTGATATCATTTATTCCTACTTGGTGACAAATGATTTCAGTTATTCATGATAAGAAAGAATTGTTTTCAGTTATTACATGTATTTACTTGGAGAGAGGTCATATTAAATATCCTTAATTGAGAAGAAGTTCATTTATTTTCTCTTAGAGAGAAGTGATTTCGTGCAGTTATTCTTACTTTGACAGAGGTGATTTCAAGTATTTTTATGTGAATAGAAGAGATTTTAGGTATTCTTACTTGGACAGACGAGATTTTAAATATTCTTACTTGGACAGAAGTGCTTTAAGATATTCCTTTAGAACCCTTCTCTGTCCTTCCTCCACCAAAGCTGTGTGGAAAACAGGCTTTAAGTGGACAAAATCCACACTGTAGTCATTCCAGGTGGCACATATCACCTCCACAGCATGTGTGCTCTGTTGCCTGTCAAATAAGACTCAGTATAACAATTCTCTACACTTGTCTTTACAGAGAGCTGGCACTTACATTATCTGAACGTTTGGACAGATTATCCAAGGTGAATCTCGACACGTTAATGTTCATGTTGTATCAGGTTGTACATAATGTTTTATTCACAACTTACCAGGTGTGTAATGCTTAAGATTTTGAAGTTGTAGTTTTATATTCAAGATTTACCAGTCAATAGTGGTTTAATGTCACCTTTTTACAGTCAAAGAAATATTTGTGTGTGTGAGGGTGTGTGTGTGTGTGTCTGTGATTGACTCAGATTTCAAACCTGTGTGTAATACTGTAGGTTCCTAAATATACACGAGGAATTAATTATCGCGTAATTACGCGAGAAGCACCATTCGCGAAATAAAATTACCCGCGTTTATTTTTATGATGCTGAAATCAATGTAAAATCCCTTGATCAACCGTCCACTCGCGAATTATTGTTCTCGCGATTTGACATTAAAAAGCCATTTCGCGATAATAAGTACTCGCGAAAAATAAGGAATCTACAGTATTTAAACATTGAATTCTTATTTTTGGATGTCGTCAGTCCTATAACAGCACCTGTCCGTGCCAACATATTATCATATTGCACATTAGCCCTGTAATTTGATAATTTGTCAGAATGAACAGGTTCTGTTACAGGACCAACGACATCCAAAAATAAAAATTCAATACATATAATTTACATTCTCCAATTTTTCTCTCTTCATAATTGTTAATTTCGTTAATCCTTGTTATGAATTTAGCGCCTTTCAGAACTGCTTTGTAAGAGCCGTTGTGACGTGGAAAGTTAAATAGTGCAAATGAATATTGCTCGTGAAAAGAAAGACAATTTAATTTTAAACATACTATTGTTACATTTTCACAATGTTTAATAGGGTAATTGCTTTAAATTAAATTGAGCTAAAACAATATACATTTTGGTGTTCCTAGAGTATTGAAAATGCATATAGTTTCTACTGTGTATTCTAATGTGCAGTGAAAAGGTTTCGCATGTGTTATTGTATAGGGTATTGGATGTTGTAGATTTCCAATTCAAATTTCATAAAGAAAATTAAACTGAATGTGAATATAAATAGATCATGCCTCTTCCTACTACATGGATTTCAATACCCTGTTTTTTAGTGGTTTGTGTAATTTTAAAAGTCAGACAGTGTATATTGATTTCCAAGAAATGAGTTGAAAATGCCTACCATTGTTTGGTCATAAGCTCCTCAAAGCATTTGATGTTTTTGAGGTCAATGAATACTTCTTCCAATATACAATTTGCTCTGCAAAAGTAAAAGATTTGATGAACATGATCAAAGTTTTTTCTTTAAAGTACATGTATATGCTTCTGGAATTATTTTGCAGTAGCGAAGCTACTGTGAGTATAATTCGATTGCAATAAGGTTTTTTTTTTGTTGTTGTTGGTGATGTCATAGCTTTTTTCCCCTGTATATTGTGAGATGGATTACTATTTAAATTCCACATATATACTATACCTTTATGAGCTGAAGTAGATAAAATATAAACCCCTCTCAATACTCTTCTTTCATTATTGTTTGTTTCCTGACATTTTCAATTTTCACTATTACCAATTTTTTAATACTTCGACCATATTAAAGAGAACCTTTCCTGTCAGTAATATTTTGTTACTTCACAAGATAAATAGATGACTTCACATTCTCATAGAGTTGGCATGTAGAGGAAGCGGTGCAAAATAAAAGGATAATAGCTTGATAATGAGGTGAGCATAGCCACTTGATTTTCAACCTATTTATGTTCAAGCCATACTTTCCCTTAGTCTACAAAGCAAATGCTGCAACTTGATCCTTTCTTAACTTTTATATGCAGTCACTATCACTATCAAAGACCATAACTTTTGTTATGTGAATTTTATGTGTATGCATGCTCAGATTGTTTTAACTCTTCCTCACTCTCTACACATAATGGCAATCCTACTTTGTCTTAATACACTCCTAAAGACCCTGCCACAACTCTGCAAAGACCTTTCATGATCAAGCTAGATTTTAAGTCATAGCACAGTCTGCATACAGTGTAAAGGGGGTCTGAATGAGGATGCTTAAATATTAATTTGACTTACTGTTGTCTTGCTAATTTGGGTAATTCTTATGATGATTTCCATTCCCATTCCTGTCTAACTTTGACAACTTATTGTAGCCTCAAGAGGCCATAATTTCAATAAACTTTCAGCTTTTGTTGTTGTAGTCCAGTTATTCTACTAGGATTTTTAAAGGACTCCACCTTACTATTACTAAGTCAATAAATTTCTCCCCTATGACAAATTTAACCCCCCCTTAATTAACCCAGAGTTGTTTTAAATCAAGCAGCATTATTGTTCTGGAAGTTACTGAACATGAAAGTTATAAAGTTAGACTAACAAACTTAAATCAGACCTTTGGCTCAGGTAATCAAATACAAGAGGCCCAAGGGCCTCGAATCACTCTTCTGATAAACTGTACAACCTATCACTTGTATTTGAAGCCTCTAAGTATCCTGTATATTTAGATAAACCCTTGAAATTCCAATTCACACTCTGAGAACCCAAGATGATTCTAAGCCAATTAGTACCTGAGAGTTGATCATCGTGACCTACTTATCACTTGTCATTCTCTGAGGACCCATCAATTAAGTTTGATGATTCTAAGCCAATTAATACCAAAATATTTTTTTAAATTATAACCATAAAATTTTACAAGAAGGTCAAAGTGACCTACTTTCCAGTTGTTGTACTCCAAGGACCCAAGATGCATCAACTGACAAAGTTTGATGATTCTAAGCCAATTAGTACCCAAAATATTTAATTAAAGCCATAAATTTTCAAAAGTAGGTCACGGTGACCTATTTTCAGTTGTTGTACTCCAAGGACCCAAGATACATCAACTGACAAAGTTTGATGATTCAAAGCCAATTACAAAATATTTAATTAAAGCCATAAATTTTCAAAAGTAGGTCACGGTGACTTACTTTTTAGTTGACCTACTCCGAAGACCCAAGATGCATCAACTGACAAGGTTTGATGATTCTAAGCCAATTAGTACCTGAAATATTTAATTATAGTCATATAAATTGAAAAGTAGGTCATGGTGACCTACTTTTCAGTTGACCTTTTTTGAGGACCCAAGATGCATCAACTTACAAAGTTTTATGATCATAGGCCTTAAAATGTCCAAATTATTCCTCTAAAACGCTTTGAAATCAAATGCCTGCAAAGTTCAAAAAGTAGGTCACTGTGACCTACCTTTTAATAAATATGTTTTATGGCCTCAAGATGCATCATCTTACAAGATTTAATGATTCTAAACCTCTCGGTATTCGAATTAATGACCTATATTGTTTTGAAAAAGATTAGCCATAAAGTCCAAAAAGTAGGTCAAGGTGACCTACTTTTTCATTGACAACCTTGGGGACCCAAGATACATTAACTGACAAAGTTTGATGATCATAGGCCTTAAATTGTTCAAAATATGCCTCTAAATCATTTTGAAAAAGAATGGCCGCAAAATTTAAAAAGTAGGTCACTGTGACCTACTTTTGAGTCAACATGATACAAAGTCCTTAGATGCATCAACTGACAAGATTTGATGATCCTAGTCCTTATAGTAAGCAAAATATCAACATTTTAATAAAATGTAATTTTTGGTCAACTTTGAAGTGATCTTGAGACCCTGCCCTTTGCCCCAGGGTAAATCCCCATGCAAATTTTAATCTACAACATATCCTCATCCTTTTGTGTAAGTTTGGTGATAATCTGCCCAGTGGTTCTTGAGAAGAAGATTTTTTAGCAACCAGTACTTTTGTTTCTATTTTCCTAATTATCTCCCCTTGTTTAAGGGTCACAATCCTAGTTTTAGTACAAAAGGAAGCCCTTGGGCCAAGGATACCCTGTGACAAATTTGATAATAATTGGCCAAGGGGTTCTTGAGTTATGCCCCATATTCTAAAAAGTTTACGCACACCGCACAAATGGCCATAGCATTAGCTCTTTGAGCCTTTGGCTCAGAAGAGCTAAACCAGAAGTCTCTGATGAGACTGTAGCTCTACTGGTCTGTTTGTATAACAAAAGAAAAGTAGCACTTGGATTTGAAACATTGCAACATGCAACAATAAATAGAATTATGTATCTTAATGTAGTCTACTTTTGTGACAAGTTATATTGAAATCAAATGAAAACTAGGAGTAGTAGCGTTTTGAAAGTATTTCACGGAAATTTCTATTTTTAGTACCGGTAACCATGACAACACCACTCACCCAAATAAAAAAAAACAGAAATACATATTATGTATCGTAGTGTATTCTAACTGTGTGCCAAATTAGATTGAAATCAGACCAAAATTGTAGGAGGAGTAACGTTTTAAAGGAATTTCGCAGAAATTTCTATTTTAAGTAACCATGGCAACACTGTTCATCGAATTCAAAAAGCAATGCAATAAATTATGTATCTTAGTATAGTCTTCTTGTATGCCTAATTATATTAGAAGCAGACTAAAACTGTAGCAGGAGTAGTGTTTTAAAGGAATTTCACAGAAATTTCTATTTTTAGTAACCATGGCAACACCGTCCATCGAAATCAAAAACCGATGCACTAAATTATGTATCTTAGTGTAGTCTACTTGTGTGCCAAGTTGTATTGAAATCGGACCAAAACTGTAGGAGGAGTAACGTTTTAAAGGAATTTCACAGAAATTTCTATTTTTAGTAACCATGGCAACACCGTCCATCAAAATCAAAAACCGATGCAATAAATTATGTATCTTAGTGTAGTATACTTGTGTGCCAAGTTATATTGAAATGGGACCAAAACTGTAGGAGGAGTAGCGTTTTAAAGAAATTTCACAGAAATTTCTATTTTTAGTAACCATGGCAACACCGTCCATCGAAATCAAAAACCGATGCACTAAATTATGTATCTTAGTGTAGTCTACTTGTGTGCCAAGTTATATTGAAATGGGACCAAAACTGTAGGAGGAGTAGCATTTTAAAGGAATTTCACAGAAATTTCTATTTTTAGTAACCATGGCAACACGGTCCATCGAAATCAAAAACCGATGCACTAAATTATGTATCTTAGTGTAGTCTACTTGTGTGCCAAGTTATATTGAAATCGGACCAAAACTGTAGGAGGAGTAGCGTTTTAAAGGAATTTCACAGAAATTTCTATTTTTAGTGACCATGGCAACACCGTCCATCGAAATCAAAAACCGATGCACTAAATTATGTATCTTAGTGTAGTCTACTTGTGTGCCAAGTTATATTGAAATGGGACCAAAACTGTAGGAGGAGTAGCGTTTTAAAGGAATTTCACAGAAATTTCTATTTTTAGTAACCATGGCAACACCGTCCATCGAAATCAAAAACCGATGCACTAAATTATGTATCTTAGTGTAGTCTACTTGTGTGCCAAGTTATATTGAAATCGGACCAAAACTGTAGGAGGAGTAGCGTTTTAAAGGAATTTCACAGAAATTTCTATTTTTAGTAACCACGGCAACACCGTCCATCGAAATCAAAAACCGATGCACTAAATTATGTATCTTAGTGTAGTCTACTTGTGTGCCAAGTTATATTGAAATCGGACCATAACTGTAGGAGGAGTAGCGTTTTGAAAAATTGTTTACAGACAGACGGACAGACAGACAGACAGACAGACAGACGGACGGACGACGGACACCTTACTATCGCATAAGCTCTTCTGGTCTCTGACCAGTAGAGCTAAAAACCTACCCAAAACTTCCTATTCTGTTGAACTCGTCGGTGAGTGTCTGGAATCGGTCCTTTCTGATGTAGATGAGCTCATCCTTGTTGTCGAGCTCCTCCTTCAGGTATCGCTTCCTCAGCTGTGTCATGTATTCTCCAAACGCAATACAGTTATTTGTATTTGCAATCTACAAATAGGAATGTCGTGTAATCTTTGTAATCTACTGTAAAATAATATATTTCCGTGGGGTTAATTTTTTTGTGGTTTAAGGATTTGAGGGGATTTGATGTTGTGGATGAAGAATCGTGTAGTTATACATAGAAAATATTGCATTTCTTAGTGAACATGAATGTGTGGGTCTCTTCCTACCTCAAAAAGAACGAAAATTAAACCCCTCAAAAAATTACTGATTTCAAAGTATTGTCCTGTTCACATTGAGATTTCAATCCAAATTAAATGTAACTTATTGCATATTGAATGTGCATTAATTGTGTTCACTGGCATTTAATGCAAATTAGTTTAATTTTAATTACATGACTTCCTCTGAACTCTAAGCAAAGCTAATGCAAATTAAATTTCATGCATGTGTAATGGTAAAATTAAGACACATGCCACATGTTGGATAAGATATAGGTCTTTACACTTTTTATTAGTGAAAAACTAACTATAATAATAACTAAAATTATGTACAGATACAGCATAAGGTGACAAAATTTGCAAATGAGGTCATCATAGCATTACTACATGTATCATCAAAATTTTTTAATGCGCATTAGTTTACTTTGCATTAACTATTGTTTGAATGCTATTTAATTTACATGAGTTTGATTAATTTGCATTGTTTTACTTCACAAAAATTTTCATGGAAGTTAAAATTTAATGAACACTCCTGTGAACAGGGCATATATATGGAAAAAAATATCACATACTTTTCAATGGCAATTTTAAGTTAATTCTATGATTATTAGTTCAACTGTCCTTTCATTTCCAGGAACATTGTCTTTTTAATAACTATCATTGATATTAGATATTTTTGTCAAACTACTCAAGAAAACTTGTATATTTATCTAAACATAAATTTTAACTTCAATTACAGATTTAGGTATAATGATATATATACATGTAGCTATATTTCCATTCAGATTTTCTTTCTAAGCATACCATGTAATGCAGGAAGAACTTGGGTACACTTCGGTCCTGTAGATGTCTTTCCTTATAGCTTTGAATGGCACCTAGCAGATAGAAGAGAATATATTCACATAAAATTCTCATATTGATATCTTTTTCTTTCTATTAATAAGTTCATACAATAAAACAAATGCAGTATTATTATTGTAGTCAATAGATGTACCATAAAACTGATCTTTTGAGAATAGGAAAAAAAAAACAAAAAAAACAAGAGGCCCATGGGCCACAACACTCACTTGAGTCCCCTAGGCCTTGACCCTCCTGTTCTTAATCATGAGATTTAATTTTTATTCCCATGAAAAATTCTTGCCTAATATTGTGGCCCCACCCTAGCCCCAAAGTATCATGACATAACATTACTTGAACCATCATATCCTTAGAATGCTTTCATGTCATCACAACTAACATTACTTTCCTCTTCTGCAGAAGAACTAAACATGCACAAGGTGAAAAATTGCTCCCTGATTTTAGATTTTAAAACATTTTTTCCCATGTAAAACATTGTTCTCTAGTTTTGGCCCCACCCTTCCCCCGGGTTCAAGATTTGTACAAATTTGACTCTGCACTATATCAGGAAGCTTCCAAATAATTTTCCCATTTCTGACTCAGTGGTTTTAGAGAAGATTTTTAAATGAGCATACTTAATTTTCACTATTTGTTAATCATCTTGAAGGAGGGCATAACCCTTCATTGAAACAAACTTGAATGTCCTTCATCCAAGGATGCCTTGTGGCCAGTTTGGTTGAATTTAACTAGGTGGTTCTTGAGATGAAGATAAAATTGGAGATGACAAAGATGATAATGCCAATAAACAGTGGACAAATCTAAATTAGACAAGAGGCCCATGGGCCCATTGCCCAACTGACCACTGTGGCTAGGAAAAAAGTAAAATCAGTTCAGTATTGAAAAATTTAAATGCATAAGTGGTCCCAACTTAAATATATGCAAATGACAGGAAGTAGCTAAATACATGTGGTCCCTATGACAAACAGAAGGACTGATCTATGACAAACACTATATGCCCTGGTCATATCCATGGCATGATATAAATATTTTTCAAGCCATTGATTAGCAATTTTCATACAAATAGCATTGTCTTAAAGACAATGCTATTTGTATGAAAATTGCTAATCAAAAAGTGAATTTCTTTGTGCTTTCTATATTAATATTTCTTCACTTAGGGCATTTATGTTAGTTTAAGAGTTGTTGTAAAATGTGTTTTATAAATAAAAAATTAATCTCATTACAATGTGTATTGGTAATGATCCTCTAATAAAACTAATGTCCAAATAACTGTATCTCACTTCCATTCTCAATGACCATGTAGTGTAGAGCAGCGCTGCGAAAATTCCATTGGCATCGAAAGCAAGTTTTTTGACTTGCCTAGATAGCCGAGCGGTCTAGCGCGCTGTACCTATACTGCTAGGAGACAGATTCCATAGGTCGAGAGTTCAACCCCGGGCTGGGGCGGAAGTGGGTATCCTTATAAAAGTGAATTTCTTTGTGCTTTCTATATATATATATATATCTACTCAACAATTCTCCATCCACGAAATTTAATCCCCAAGAACCAATATTTTTTCCTCAAACCACAAAAATTTGATGGCATGAAAATATGTGATTTTACAGTAGTCAAAAAAAGTTTTGATTATTGACCTTGACCTCTAGCCAAGTGACCCCATAATAAGTACTAGATGTTTTCTTCTAAACAATCTCCCATCTATATAGTAAATATGAAGCCTGTAGATTGTAAAATACTCTAGTTATAAAGTCATTAAATACTTTTGACTGACAGATGACCTTGTAGATTACTACAGGACACCCTTATCTTGATGAGGGATACTAACTATGGTACATCTACTGACATTTGACCATCATATTAAACTATATCCAGTAGACAGTTAATAACAATCCAACTATATTTACAGATGTATTATAAAACTATATCCAGTAGACAGTTTATAACAATCCAACTATATTTACAGATGTATTATAAAACTATATCCAGTAGACAGTTTATAACAATCCAACTATATTTACAGATGTATTATAAAACTATATCCAGTAGACAGTTAATAACAATCCAACTATATTTACAGATGTATTATAAAACTATATCCAGTAGACAGTTTATAACAATCCAACTATATTTACAGATGTATTATAAAACTATATCCAGTAGACAGTTAATAACAATCCAACTATATTTACAGATGTATTATAAAACTATATCCAGTAGACAGTTTATAACAATCCAACTATATTTACAGATGTATTATAAAACTTTTTTCACTTCTTAAAAAAAATATTTTGAAGTACCTTTTATCTTGGACCTACCCTTGTATTCCTTGGCATAGTGTGCTAGTTCATCTGTAAATAATTCTATTACTTTTTTAACCATATCTTCTCCTATCATTTGGGCAACTTGAAGCTAAAAAAAATAATAGAATATAGAGAAAAAACTTGTTTGTGATATTTAATTTGTAATTGCATTCTGGAAGACTGGCAACTTTGTACTTTAATGAGAAACATAAAAAAGGCTGATTTTTCTCCTCTGAGATTAATCCTGAAATATCCTTAATAATTAAAATCATAGTTTCTTTGTCATCACCAAAATTTTTGACAAAAAGAGTAAAACAGTTATTTTTTTCTAACAGTAATTATTTTTTAAAATCTTATTGTCTGTATTTATAGATCTGGGACATAGTTACATTTATAATTTAGTGAAATCAAGCATTTTGTGTGAAATGTTGATTATGGTATGAAGCAACTGAATTCTGTGGGAAAATGTGGTGTAAATTAATGCAAATACTGTAAAGATCATTACAGGTAAGATCTCCATAATCGTTAAGTCAAACATAGATAATCAAAGATTATGAAGCTAATCTCCAGGAATGTTATCTATAAGTAAGGCATATCTCACCAAATTTTTCTTGTTAGTGTGAATGATGAAATTAATATCCACACAAGTTTTGTCTAGTTATGACTTAAAGTTACTTGGGATTGTACCTGCTTCAAAAACTTACTCATCCAGAAAATGTAAGTCTATCCTTGGATGCATCATCCATACAAGTTTATTCATAAAAAGTCAAATAATTATTTGGGAATGGACCTGCTCTACATGTATAAACCTGGTCTCTAATCCTGAAAATGTAGGCCAGATCTAGCATGTGAAGCAAGTCTATTACTCTCCATCCTTAAATGCATCATCCATGCAAGATTGGTCCAAGAAAGGATTAATAGTCACTCATCTGAAAAATGTAGGTCAGATGCAGCAATCTCTAGATGCATTATCCAAGCAAGTTTGGTCTAGGTAAGACTTACAGTTACTAGGTAGATCTGTAATAGACCTGCTCCAAAAACCTTAACCTATACACAGAAAATGTAGGCCAGATCAAGCATCCAAAGCAAGTCTGGTAGTGTCCACCCCTAGATGCATCTTCCATGCAAGTTTGGTCCAATTAGGGATTATAGTTACATGTACAATGTACTTGGGAATGAACTTGCTCCTAAAACTTTAACCAGGATGCCAACACCAACACTGAGGATAAGGCATAAGCTCATCTGGCTCGAGGGCCATAACACTTAGATGAGCTCACTTTTTGATCTCACTCTCACTTTTACAAAAGAATTGATAGTGGAAAAGTGAGACTGAGATACAAAGTGAGCTCAGCTAAGTTTTATTAATTTGCCTTGGAGCCTCAACTTCGTTGAGCTAAAAATAAATAAATTTCATTCTTAAATGACATCTCTCTGAGAAATAAATAAAATCAGCATTGATATCATATGATACTATCAAATCCATGTGAAATATTTATACAAACTAACAACTACTCCCAGTACTAAATATAAACTAACAACTACTCCCAGTACTTCTGGGACGGTCTTACATTCTGCTCCATCATCTGGAATATGATGACAGGGAGGGAGGTTGAATAATATCCATCTCCATCAGCGTCTGGATGTTCATCACGATACCAGTCCTGAAATCAAGCATTAAATTATCTATTGACAATTTACTCCACCTATACAATCTATAACAAAGAAACAAGAGACCCAAGGGCCTTAACGGTCACCTGAGTATAATACAACAATTTAGAAGTTAAATACACTGACAGATGAAGCTTTGTTGCCCTAAAGCAAGAGAAGTAGGAAGATCAGGATCAACAAAATAATTAGTCTAGTATTCAGTATCAACTCATAAATTAAGTTCTAATATGTCCCCCACTTAACACTATCACCATGCAGACTATTAACAAACTATTAGTGCTTCTGTACTATTTTTAAACCCATATTAATACCTCTAGCATTGACCCCTCTTATGGTCTTTGAAGAACTTTTAATAAGATAAGTTATTTTTGTCTCATTTTTATTTATCTATTACTTACAGGTCTACCTGATTATTAAAACTAAGAAAGTACTTTTTTAATTATACGATAAACATTCTTGCATAATTATCTTATTCTATTAACCTTTCAAATACATTATTTACAGTGATTGATTATCAAAGGTGAATGGAAAAGGGGAATAACTTCTCTCAGTAGAATACAAGTTAATAGAGCCCTGCCCAAGACCAGAATGCTTAGACGAATGGTCCAGATGTTTAAAAATCTGGTAGAAATATGCTTACTCATATCATTTAAACTTTTACTCAGTTTGCCTCCGATATGCCCAGAAGCAGAGAAGAATATCACAGGTACAATGCATTTTCACTACAGATTCAACAAAGCCTTACCCTAACACCAGAACCCAAGACCAAGGGTCAAGAAATTTACAGATTTGGAAGAGTTACCCTCATCATCATAACTATGGACTTCAAAGAATTAACACTTTTCCACTATATTATCAAAAGCCCCCCCCCCCCCCCCCCCCCCCCCGTTATGCCAGAACCCTGACCCTAGGACCACAAGATTTAAAAATTCTGTTTGAAGCTCCCATTTTCATCATAGCTAAGCAATTTATTTATCAGCTCAACACTAAGGAGCAGACAGGATTAGTTAATGATTAATTAATAGAATTAATGCTTTTTCACTATATAATCCCCCCCCCCCCCCCCGGTCCTCAAGAACCCCAAAAACTGAGGCCATATATTTAAATATTTTGAAAGAGGCATCCTTGTTTATCATAATCATGCACTTAGTTTGTTTAAATAATCTCCAGTAGCAGAGAAGAAGATTTTCAAAGAATCAATGCATTTTCACTATATAATCAATAGAGTCCCACCCTAACACCAGAACAACTGACCCTGGGGCCATGAAATTCACAATTTTTCAAAAGGCATCCTTATGCATCATAACCATGCACTTAGTTTGTTTAAATAGTCTCCAGTAGCAGAGAAGAAGATTTTCAAAGAATTAAAGCATTTTCACTATACATGTATAATCAATAGAGCCCTGCCCTAACACCAGAACCCCTGACCCAGGGGCCATGGCTTTCACAATTCTGGAAGAGGCCTACCTCCTCATCATAACTATGTACTTAGTTTATCACCTTAATACCCAGGAGCAGAGGAGAAGATTTTCAAAGAATTAATGCATTTTCACTATATAGTTGATAGAGCCCCGCCCTAACACCAGAACCCCTGACCCTGGGGCCATGAAATTCACAATTTTGGAAAAGGTACTCTTGCTCATCATAACTATGTACTTAGTTACTTTATTAAATATCCAGAAGCAGAGAAGAAGATTTTCAAAGAATTAATGCATTTTCACTATGTAATCAATAGAGCTCCGCCCTAACACCAGAACCCCTGACCCTGGGGCCATGAATTTCACAATTTTGGAAGAGGCACTCTTGCTCATCATAACTATGTACTTAGTTCCTTTATTTAATACCCAGGAGCAGAGAAGAAGATTTTCAAAGAATTAATGCATTTTCACTATATAATCAATAGAGCCCCGCCCTAACACCAGAACTATATAGCCCAACCCTGGGGCCAGAACCCCTGACCCTGGGGCCATGAATTTCACAATTTTGGTAGAGGGCTCAATGCTTATTACAATGATGCCAACAGTTTGACTGCTTGATGTTCAGGAGTAAAGAAGAAGATTTTTAAAGATTGCATTATTTTTGGTGGTTTTAGCCCCACTCCGGGGGGGCAGGGACCATGAAATTCACAATTATTGTTCCCCTTCACTCGTAGATGCTATATACCAAATTTGGTTGAAATTGGTTGAGCGGTTCTAGAGAAGAAGTTAAAAATGTTCAAAAGTTAACGCACGACGGACGACGACGGACGAAAACAGATAGCAATAGGTCACCTGAGTGACTCAGGTGACCTAAAAACTATTTGGTGGTCTTTTTTCAACCATCATTCACCTATGTAGTAATGTATATAAATCATTAGTTTATTGCTTAATGTGCCTTAATTATCATGGCCTTGCTAAATCTCAATGACAGATTATCATTTAAACATATTGTATATACAGAGTGAGAATTGTGAAAATTTTCTAAAGCTTTCAGAGTGTACTGAAGTACTGAATGAAAAAACAATAAGAGACCCAAGGGCCTTAACAGTCACCTGAGTATAATACAACACTGTAAAGTATCCACAGAAGTAACAAGAGGCCCATGGGCCACATCGCTCACCTGAGCACATTGGCTAGGCAAAAGCACAAATCAGTTCAGTATTGAAAAGATTACCTGGGGGTGGGGGGGGGGGCTTGAATTTTAAATTACCTGATGATGCTTCCATGTCAATATAACAAATGGCTTTATTGTACTTGAGAATTCGAAGATTTTAAAAAAAAATTTTCCCATATATTCCTTTGTAAAAATTTGATCCTCCATTGTGGCTCCTCCCTATCACAGGGGTCATCATTTGAACTTGAATCTACACTACCTGAGGATGCTTCCATATCAATATGACTAAACATAGCTTTCCTGTTCTTGAGAAGAAATATTTTTTCTATATGTTCTTATGTAAAACTTCCAATCCCCCAATGGGCCCCATCCAACCCCTGGGGGTCATCATTTGAAAAAAATTGAATCTACACTACCTGAGGATGCTTCCATATCAAAATGACTAATCATGGTTTGCAGTTCTTCAGAAGATGATATTTTCCTATATATTTCTATTTAAGACTTTGATCCTCCATTGTGGCCCCATCCTACCCACGGGGGTCATGATTTGAACAAAATAGAATCTACACTACCTGAGGATGCTTCCATATAAATATGATCAATCAGGGCTTTGCTGTTCCTGAGAAGAAGATTTTTAAAATTTTTCCTATACATTTCTATGTAAGACTTTGATCCTCCATTGTGGCCCTGCCCTATCCCCGGGGGTCATGATTTGAATAAATTTGAATCTACACTACCTGAGGATGCTTCCATATAAATATGAACAATCTGGACTTTGCTGTTCCTGAGAAGAAGATTTTTCCTATATGTTTCTATGTACAACTTTGATAGTCCATTGTGGCCACACCCTACCCCCGGGGGTCGTGATTTGAACAAACTTGAATCTACACTACCTGAGGATGCTTCCATATAAATATGACTCATCATGACTTTGTTGTTCATGAGAAGAAGATTTTTAAAGATTTTTTCCTATATATTTCTATGTAAAACTTTGATCCTCCATTGTGGCCATGCCCTACCCCCAGGGGTCATGGTTTGAACAAACTTGAATGTGCATTATCTGAGGATGCTTCCATATAAATATGACTCATCATGGCTTTGCTGTTCATGAGAAGAAGATTTTTTAAGATTCTTCCTATATATTTCTATGTAAAACTTTGATCCTCCATTATGGCCCCGCCCTACCCCCTGGGGTCATGATTTTAATAAACTTAAATCTACACTACCTGAAGATGCTTCCATATATATATGACTCATCATGACTTTGCTGTTCTTGAGAAGAAGATTTTTAAAGATTTTTCCTATATATTTCTATGTAAAACTTTGATCCTCCATTGTGGCCCCCGCCCTACCCCCTGGGGTCATGATTTTAATAAACTTGAATCTACACTACCTGAAGATGCTTCCATATAAATATGACTCATCATGGCTTTGCTGTTCTTGAGAAGAAGATTTTTAAAGATTTTTCCTATATACATGCATTTCTATGTAAAACTTTGATCCTCCATTGTGGCCCCCGCCCTACCCCCTGGGGTCATGATTTTAACAAACTTGAATCTACACTACATGAAGATGCTTCCATATAAATATGACTCATCATGGCTTTGCTGTTCTTGAGAAGAAGATTTTTCAAGATTTTTCCTATATATTTCTATGTAAAACTTTGATCCTCCATTGTGGCTCCGCCCTACCCCCGGGGGTCATGGTTTGTACAAACTTGAATCTACACTACCTGAGGATGCTTCCATATAAATATGACTCATCATGGCTTTGCTGTTCCTGAGAAGAAGATTTTTAAAGATTTTTTCTATATATTTCTATGTAAAACTTTGATCCTCCATTGTGGCCCCGCCCTACCCCCGGGGGTCATGATTTGAACAAGAGGCCCAAGGGCCTTAACGGTCACCTGAGTACAATACAACAATTTAGAGGTTCCCCGCCATAGGACCTGAATCATGAACCCAGGGGCCATGAATTTAAAGCTTGAGCACTCATTACACTGATAAATGAAGCTTTGTTGCCCAACAGCAAGAAAAATAGTATGATTAGTTTCAACAAAATAATTGGTCTAGTATCTATCTGCCCCCCCCCCCCCCCCATTTATCACTATTCCCATGCAGACTATTAACAAAATGTCTATTATTTAACCCCATATTATTCCTTCTCACAATGGCCTCTCTTGGCCGTTGAAGAACATTTAAAAAGATAAGTTATTTTTGTCTCATTTTTATTCATCTATTATTTCCAAGTCATTAAAACTATGAAAGTACTTTTTTTATTATACAATAAATTTTCTTGCATAATTCTCTTATTCTATTAAGCTTTCAAATACATTATGTTAATTGATTAATTATCAAAGGTGAATGGCAAAGGGAAATAACTTTGCTCAGTAGAATACAAG